CTCTACTGCATTAGCCTGGCCATTGCATTCTTGTCTAATTCCACTTGATCTTAATCTCTCTTCACAGCTCAGTCTGCGCTTTTTCCCCATTCACTTGGATTCCCTCTGCTGATTTCCACAATCAGTGAAGAGAAGGAGGAATTGTGAACGGTGACATTGATTTTCCATGCTGTCTTAGAATTGTAGTGTCTGTAGTTTTAGCAATGGAAGCAGAGGAAGTGAACGAAGACGTTTGTGTTAGCCAAATATTGAATTAACATTAACAGATGCCTCATTCAGCTTGACACTTCTCTCTTCACAATAGAAAATGGTTGTTTAAAGCGAAGAAAATTTCCAACAAGCTTCATAGCATCAAACTGTCTCATGACACACATTATGGTCAAACGTTAGTGCGTGGGTAACGTTTAACCCTTCTGCATGCGAGGAATGAGGCAAACGTAGAGGTCCATGGAAAATGATACAGGTTTTACGTGTGTGGGGTCGGTTGGACCCCATTTCAACATACAAGGGTTAAAACCTTAGGAGAGTCCATGATTCCAGGAAGCAATCGTTTCTCAACAGCCGAGAGTCCAGACCCCCAAAGTGAAGCGCAGAACAAGATGCCATTAAACATGCTGTTTTGTTGTTACCTGAACGTCCCCCTCTCTACATCCTGTCCACTGAGACGCACGTGGATGCCTTCTTTGAGCAGAGAGCCGAAGGCCATGTACTCTCCGAGGGCCCAGTCACACACTCGCTTGCTCACCATATGTGCACGTCCCTTCAGAATACGGCTCAACCCTGCAGCATGATCCAACAAGCAGAAACAGAAAGGCTCAACACGGCTAATTAATAGCATTTTCTAACAATCCTAATGGAGTGGTGGAGAATACCTCCATGTATCATGAAATCTTCCAATGGGACAGAGGCTGCGACGTTTCCAATGTGACAGAGCTCATCTTCTCGAATACCAGTGGAAGGACAGCTCATAGTTTTAGGTTGACCATCCAGAGTGAAAAAACCTAAAGATTTTATAGACAAAAGATATAAAAAATAATAATAATTCAGTGGTGGAGTGCTGTAATTGAGAGATGCCATAAATACCACACCACTGCTCCAAAACCTCACACTTACACATGTTCTACTCAAATGTTGCAGCAGTGACCTGATGCTAACTTTACTTAAACCCATGCTACACTATGCAGACACTCTGTCTGCGCTGAGGAATATCCACTCACCACAGCATGCCGAAAGCTTGAGGTGATTCCAGCAGCAGTGGAGTCCGACTTGGTTTCTGATCATTTTAACATTTAATTATCTGACTACTTGAAGATACTCACATAGCATGCAAGTTTCAGTGATCATTAAGTACGAAAAAAGACAAAAAGAAAGTAATTTTCTCAGGTCAGATGCATTAGCAGACTACATTAACACTAAACATACATGTAATCTATACAAAACATGGTCATTCATTTTACTGTGAAAAAAAATGACAGAAATCAACATTTAAATGATTCCTAGAAACAAGTTACCTGGCCAGGGAGAGTCCAGCCAGTGTTTGATGTGGAGGATCTTCTCGTCTTTGGAGTGAGCAAAAGCGTCCTCACAGATTTTGTCGTATCGAGCCACTTCCTCCTAAGAGTCAAAAAGGTTTGCATTTCAGTTTCATAAATGAAAATGTGGAGTTCAAACCTAAACACTCAATTTCAGTCTTTTTAAAGTTTAGGATAGATAAAAATCACATCCTCAAAACGATAAGGCGTACAGGCATGCTGGTGGCGTTACCTCGTAGTGTTGTGTTGTGATAACTCCTTCAGCAACGAGCTTCTCTACAAACTTCTGCAAGACTCCTTTCTGCTTCTTTATCTGCTTGTACATCAGCGGCTGGGTGAACATCGGCTCATCCATCTCATTGTGGCCGTTACGCCTGTAGGAAACCTGCAGCAGAAACAGTCGATAACATCCCTGTCCTGATATAGGACTGTGAATTCTCAGGATTTCTGTGTTAATGTGTAATGATCTAAGGATCTATCATAGTAATATTTACAGTTTGACAGATCCACAAACTTCATTTCTGCCATGGCACATATGCAACACTTCTGACTTGAACTTTCAGGTTATTAAAGATTTGTTAATGGCTTTTCTTACCTTTTCCTCCATACTACAAGTTTAAAAGGGATATCATTTTTTAAAATGTAAACATTTACTTAAACATTTACCAGATCTACAACGACGTCCTTATGGAACGTGTTCCTCCACTCTGCCGCTACGTTGCACACAAACATCACGGCCTCCGGGTTGTCTGCGTTGACATGGAAGATCGGTGCGTTCACGACTCGGGCCACGTCTGTTGGGTAGGGAGATGAGCGGGCCATCCTGGGGTCTGTGGTGAATCCAATCTGCAGGAAGCAGAGAAGGCTGTCAGGTGTTTTCAGGTTTCTGCCTGGTTGACAGCTCAGCATAAACTGATATGGTTTTATTTTACTGGCTTAATTAAGTTTCATTACATTTCTTCAGTCCAATGAGCATAATCATACACAGTGACACCAAGACACCAAGTACTCGGGGGAAGGGGCACCAAACATATTCATGCTCATTAAAAAAAAATAGATCAGAATAATCATAGTAATCAAAATAGTGGTGTATTTAAAGTAAAAATATGTCACTATTTTTATTGTGTTTTAAATCATTGAAATCCTCTTAAACCGAATAAAAGCCTCATTTCTCTACTGGATGTTTTCTGGTGAATAACCTTCTTTAACTCGTTCAGAGTTCACAAGTGAATACCTGGTTGTTCACCACCACATGGATGGTGCCATGGGTGGTGTAGGACGGCAGGTCTGAAAGGTGGAACGTCTCGTACACAATTCCCTGGCCTGCGAACGCAGCATCTCCGTGGAGCAGAATAGACATCACCTGAAACAGTTTCCAAATTCAAAACCTATAGAAACAATTACCAGAAAACTGTCTTTTCATGAACTCGTTAGGCCACTCACCCTCTTCCCCTCGGTGTCTCCAGAGTAAAACTGTTCAGCTTTGGTCTTCCCCTGCACCACTGGGTCCACGGCCTCCAGGTGGGACGGGTTGGCCACGAGCGACAGGGTGATGTACCTGTCACTGACTCGGTTCATCCTCCTGTGATACATGCCTAAATGATATTTCACATCTCCTGAGCCCTAAACACAGATGGTAAACGGTTACAGCTCATGTGTTTAAGCCACTGTGATCTAAAAGTCAGCTAAATGTCTAAGTGATGACTTTGTCTCTTTCAGGTTTTCCAATTTGGAGGAACCATTTCCTCTGATGAAATATGTCCTTGTGCTAAGATGCATTTACATTTATTTATTTTTGTAACTTGGTTTGAAAGTACTACAATATGGGGGAAGCTAACTGGGTTGATGTCTTAATCTAAACCAGAAGAACCAGAGATTCCTAATGTTTCTGACCTCTATGCAATAGAAAAATAAGTATAAAATGGTATTTTTCATGGTTCTATAACGACACATTTTAGTGTTAAAGCCATGATAATTAGAAGAAATCAATTTGTCTGCAAACATTAAAAGCATGTAATTAGTTGGCGTCAGTTTCATTAACGTTTGCACAGACGTGTGTGAGTGGTTTTGTTGTGCAAACCTCGTCAGCAGCCTCCAGCTTGGAATCGAACTGACAGAAGATTTGGTCCAGGTCTTTCCGGATAACATTGGCCAGAACGTTCAGCCTCCCTCTGAAGAGAATTATGGGGAAAAAACACATGAATGAGAATAATTTACTGTTTTCTACCAGCACAGTACCCATACCTTTTGAAACATTTCACATTTTGTCATGTTACATCTACAAACTTCAATCTCTTTCTTTTTTTTTTTAATTTACTTTTTTTTCTTTTTGTTTTGGTGAAAGACCAATACAAAGTACATTCTGTCATGGCATGGAAGGAAAATGCTACATAGCTTTTAAATATTTTTTCACTAAAAAAATATTTAAATTGTGGAGCACATTTGCATTCAGCCACCATGGGTCAGTACTTTGTAGAAAAATGTTTTTGCTGAATTTGCAACATTACAAAAAAAATAAAAGAAAATATTATACTTTACAAACCATTTGCAAACCATCTACCATGAGTTACACTTAGAAACATCATATAGTGCCTCTAGCATTATTTAAGTGAAGAATCTGTGAACATGAATGTAATTTTCATGGGTGGGGATTTTTTTAAGGGGAAAACAGTTTTTTGTTGTTGTTTTTTTGAAAAAATTAAATTTGCATTTAGAGGTTCCCCTGTACTTGTAAAAGATAAAAAAATTGAAAACCATGAATCACTTCAAAATTATGCACACATCATAAAATGTATTGACAGTTGTTTCATGACAAAACATGAAGAAGTTCATACTTTTCTTGAGAGTGTATGAAAAATGCATTCAATTTCTTCTACAAGCTTCAGCTTGGTGAACAGCAAGAGAATAAAAAGTCACCTTGTGTGCTAGAGGACACCAGGTGTGTCTGTCTGTACCTGTGAGGCATTCCCAGGATCATGCTCTCCACTCCGCACTGACTGGACCGGTCAATGATGGTCTTCAGGGCCGGGATGAGCGACTCGCAGCCTTCCAAGCCGAAGCGTTTCTCTGAAGACCACTTCCTCTGAAGGAACTCCTCAAACCTGCCAACAGTTGTGACCACTGTGACGCTTCACATTAACTCTGGCTCCATTACCTCTGGACTCAGAGCGTGAAGAACCGACAGACTGACCTGGTGGAACGGATCATCCTGCCCAGCAGAGTCCTCTTCTCTTCCAAGGAAAACTGCATGATTCCTGGAGTTTCAAACTTTTGCCGGATCCACTGGCACTGCTCCAAGTCATTTATGAACATGAACTCCACCCCGATATGCTGACAGTAGGCCATCTACACGACACAGACATGAACATGTATTGGTTTGAGTCAGAGCTGGGTTATAGGTAAAGGGTGGATGGATACTACAGGATTGTTGATGTTTTTTTTTCTTTTCTCCTGACTTTCTGAAAAAAGTGCTGGACAACAAATCAATAACAATACATGTCGCGATAGACATATGATCAATGTCAATAGATAATATGTCCAATAATTTCACTGAACTCCAATCCAGAACTGAACAGCATTCTGGGTGACGTAGGCAGAGGAAAGATTTTAGCTGCTGAAGCTCTCACAGCGAGCTAACTAAGGTTGGTGGCATCAACTACTTAACTCATTGTTTGGTTACCTAGCAACAATGTGTTGAGTAACTTGCACAGCAGCAGTTTCAGGTTTGGCTGTGGTGCCTCATAACTGCTCAAAAGTAAACGGAGTGAAAACTTAATAAAACAAGAGAGGTCACATCACCAGTTGGGCAGCAATTCAGATATTTAAAACAAAAAACTAATCAATAATCATTGATCTTGATTGATATAAAATGTTTAAATCATGATATGTTTTTCAGTCATATTATCCAGTTTCATCTGGAAGCTCCTCCAAATTCTGCTGGATCATGTTTTTGCCTTTAGTATAAAAATGTCCAAGTTGTTTTTGACAGAGACTTTAAGGATGCAAACAAAGCTGTTTTAATGTGTGTGTGCACTTATCAGAGCTCTACCTCAAGGCGGCGAATGATCTCTCTGAGTGGTAGAGCGCTGTCATTGCCGCCAATGAAAGTGCTGGCAGGAAGCCGGAACACCTTGTCCAGGTCACCCTCAGTCAGGCCGTACAAACCTGCAGCGAACAAGAGGCACAGGAAACAGAATCAAACTGAATCTAAACCAGATCAGTGGAGCCATGTGGAGTGGAACTGGTCTAAAGAAGGATGGCAAACCTGAGACAGAAACAGAAACAAAGAACAGATAAAAGTTTAGAACTTCTGCCTTTATCTTATCTAGTATTGAAGATAACATTAAAGTGACTCCGTACAGGAATAAAAGCCACATACCCTTCCAACCCTCCATGTGGGGCCAAAGTTGCACCATCCTTGAATTACGGTGGACCGCACAGACCTACAGATGTCCCACGTGAAGCACTTTGGACACCCTGATCTAAACTTTCTTTATCACACACTGAGATAACTCACTTAACAGGGAACATAAAGTCCAGAAAGTCTCCTATGATAATTGTATATTATTGAGTTAACAACTCAAACATTAACTTTATGGATCTGTGGGTTCCTAATCACATTCTTGAAAGTTTCCTGGAAAGCATGGAATCATTTACCATAAACTGGAGAAGCAACATTCAGCTTCTGTGCGCCACCAATCTGGAACAAACCTCTGGAAAATTGTAAGGCAGCCAAAACACTGAGTTACTTTAAATCCAGACTAAAGACCCACCTGCATAGGATTGATTTTGAAACATTATAAGTGAAACATTAATCAACATTTTGATGTGTAACCATGGCACTTGACAAAATGTAATGTTTCTATTATTCACTTTGTATTTTTGTGATTTTACGATGTAAAGCACTTCGAACTGGCTTGTTGCTGAGAAGCTAATGGTGGCTGTTGTTTAAGCCTACCTATTTCTAATGAATCTGACTTTCTTGAAAACTTTTAAGTAGCTTTGAACAGTGTCTGAAAAGTTTCTGAAAGTTTTTCTTCAGACTTTGGAAGCTTACTCACATTATTCCAATGCAGTGTTTTCTAGTTCATCACCAAACCACTAACCTTTGACATGTTAGCTAGGGGAACATCATTTTTAACTTACATCTTTGGACACTTTATTTCCAACTTATTTTGTTCAATCTATGAAAATCTTTTACATTTTCATATTTTAAGCACAAAGAGATACAAGTCACTCTGTGGGCTAAAATTCACTAATCCTAAATCATTGTCAGAACATTATGGAATATTTTCTCACTGGGTGATTATTGCAGAAGATGGGCCACAAACTGAACAACATCCACCCATCAGAATGCATGAATCATTCAGGAGGCACAAAGTGACAAACACATAAACTGCTGGTTAAGGATCCAGTAGAACGCCACACATTTAATTTCAGAGGTCAGATAATGCAGCAACCTACTGCTGACCTCAGTGACCCCTCTCACTGACAATGAACAAAACCACAAGTGAGCATGGAAACATCCAATCAGAGGTCAGAACAGTCAGCAGCTTGTGAACTCAGAGGCACCAGGCTTTTTCATGGGGAACAATGACAACACTGAACAGCAAACACACACCTTTCACAGTCAGGTGGATACTTCCTGTTTACAGTGCCAGTTTGCTTTTTGCTTTTTTTAGGAGCAAACTGTCATATTTCTCTCTCATCCCAACTTTGGTGAAACTGAAAACGCACACAGTCTTGACAGAGGCAAAGCGTTGTGAGAGGACACACTGCACAGCTGTGCTTTGACTGAACTGCTGACATCATCATGATAACATGCTTAGCCTATCAGGAGCCAGAGCATCATAAAGCAAGTAGTCTTATCTCATAGGGAACATGGCTTTCTGTACAGGATGTTCTAAAACAACTGCAGCAGCACGAGTACATGTGATACATGAAAAAATTAATGACAGCATCACTACTACTGATAATAATCATAATGACAACAAGGAGTAGTAGCTTAGGTTGATAATGCATCAGGTTCTGAGTCAGTGAGGAAGCTTGTGTTTATCTTTCTGATTTATCTGGGTTCCATAAAATCAAATTAAGGGTTTATAATTTCAGATAGGCCATAATCTACAGTAATTAATGTTCTAAAATTATTACAACCACACCCAGGCGGTATGATAGATCATGTGTGCACTCTATCTTCTTCTTCTGCAAATCACCTAGAAAATTTTGATTTCCTGTGTAAAAATTGTTTTTAATGGAAAAACAGGAAACAGTTTGTTGTATTGACACTTTTTGGGATTCACCAATCACTGTTGTAGTCAAAGGTTAAATTCTGAAATAATTTAATGCTGTCTGACTGGATCTTTGTTGAGTGTTGAGTGACAGACACAACATTTATTTTGTGTCTGTCACTCAACCAAGATCCAGTCAGTCAGATCCAGTTTTAATCACTCAATTAAAAAAAACATGTATTTCACAGATAGTGTTTTACTTCATAATTTTTCTCATCAACTGAACATTTTCCCTTTCCTTTAGGAAGAAGCAGCATCCCCACAGCCTCATGCTGCCACCACTATGTTTTTACCTTGGGGTGATGTGTCAGGCTGATACTGATAGGCGGTACTGTTTGCATCACAAACAGAATTTTAAATTTAGGTAAATAACAAAAATTTGGGTGGTCTTACATTATTTATTAAAATGTGAACTACTGTAATCTCTGTTCCCATGAACACAGTAAACTAATAAGACTTGTAATGTTCAAAGTCAAGCAAAAGAAATGAAATTTCACAAGCTTCTTTATAAGTGGAATTTCACTTCATAGAACACACACACACACATATATATATATATATATATATATATATATATATATATATATATATATATATATGTATGTATTTTCAGCCCCCCTGTGTAAATGCTCTGTAAACCATCTAGAGATGTATGTGGTTCTAGCAGAACATGCATTTTGCTCATAAAAAATAAAATACTAAATAAATTAAGATCCTAAATATACTGCCCAAAATTCAAAAGGTCATCAGAGAGACGCTAAGTGAAGTGAAATGTAACACGGATGGTGCAGGGCTGTTTTCCTCACCAACATTTTGAAAGCCAACAGTACACGGAGCGTCATCGAAGTCCACACAGCTGATACCGAGGGGGTCCAGCTTGGCGATGTGATGGCCCCGTACCTGCAGACAGGCAGACGAGGGTTGATGAGGTTAGAATATCTAAACTCATTCCAGCAGGTCACCTTCATGATGTCAACACGCCTGGCCCAGTTTACTGTCCTCATATCAGAAGTGGGTTAAAGGCTTTAAACCAGCTGCCTGTTTTACCCGGAGCCAGCTTTCTGCCTGAACAAAATACTTTCAATTTGAAAAGTTTTCTGTACATCTGATGTGTTTGCCAGATGAAAATGACCTTTATGCAACATTAAGACTCACTAAAAGGATGTTTAATTAACACAAGCCGTGTGAAAACTAGGAATTCGCTGATTTACTTTTTTTTTTTTACTTCCGATGTCTGAGGTTTATTATCGACTGATACCAATCAGACACAGAAAAACAGCAGAATTGACTTTGTCTTTTTTTTTAAACAGACATAAATGCACTGAATTACAAATTTATTTGATAACTCTGCACCAGTACAGCTCACTGAAATACACCAACAGATTCACAAGTTTGGTCAAACATGTAAAACCAACTTTAATTTTTTCAGTCACTGTAATTAGAAGTAGAACAGCCAATGGAAAATAAATAAGAAAGAAACTGAAACTAACTACAAAAAACTGCAACAAATCTTTAGAATGATTCAAAAAGTGCAATTAAGAATTTTAAATATAATGTAAAATAAATAAAGCATGATGTTGCTCAGAGCACAAAACAAAAATAAAATGAATCAAATTTTTTGGAATATCGGGACCGATACAGATATTAATATTGGATCTGTGCATATCTAGTGAAAACATAAGTGTTAATAGCATAATAATGTTTTGTCTTTCTGTAAGTTATAAAGCCTTAATATATGTGATTATTTATTATGGTGGAGAAAATTCTGCTATGAATGTAGTAGAAACAGCTGTAAATATAAGATACAAGCAAATTTGATAATGATCTGAAACAACATTTATCATACGCCAGTGTTTGTTGTTTACCTGGTAGGCTCTAATCAGTGACTGCACTGCCAGGTGGTCTTTCACCAGTTTTTCCACATTGGGCTGAGCTCCCACCAGCGCCCGGACGCCCATCGTTCCGTCAGAAGGCCCGCTGAGTGGCGGAGGGCTTTGGTACGCCGCACCGGGAGGCGCTCCAGCATTTGCATTCCGAAAGAAAATATCCCAAGACTGTAAGGAGGAAAAAAAAAAAAGATGAACTCTGTTGTTTTTCTACTCATCTCCTGGTGGTAAACAGTAACTGGAAGTCTTTGTTTACTGCCAACAGGCTTAGACTGCGTCTGAAATCAAGACACAAGGCAGGGGGACACAGCTACTCCCAACCTCAAAGTCTGTCATGGTTGATGTACATTAAGATGATATGTTACTTTATGACAGTGGTATGATCTGACTAAATCTATCACACACATAGTGCTGTATAATTTCTCTATTACGTTAGTGTTTCAGTGCGCAACATGCAGACATATTATTTTGTAACACAATTACCACTGGTTTTTCCAACTCCAAACTGGAACACAGTTAAGTCAGGGGTGACAACATTCCTACATCCCAGTTTCATCCTATGAGGCAATGAAACCTCAGAGGATGAAACGAGTTTTGTCTACGTTTTTGGATTGCTGTAGAAGATTTTTTTGTTGTTGTTGAAAATTTATAAAATTTCACTTGCAAAAACAAAATTAAAGTAGATTTGCATTAAAATCAGAAGTTATATGAACTGTAAGTAACACCATTAACTAATGAGCATTAACCTCACTCTCCACCTAAGTTTCTAATAGGAGCAGGGAGTAATTAGATTACAGGAGTGAGAAGCTTTCAGGATCAGCTTCTCTGTGCTGGATGTTAGCTTACAGTTAGCTTGGCGCACGAGTTACTTTACAGCTGTACTCAAACTACAAACCCTGACAGCAGGCAGCTCAGTTTGTTAGCTGAAAACAGATTGCAGGTCAAAGCCTGTGTTTGAACCTTTTATGAGGTACAGTTCCCCAACAGCCAGTAAAAGTCTGTTCACTGACTGTAGTTTAATCCATTTAGTGGAGTTCATGAGCTAAGTGTCAGCTAATGTTTTACCATTCTACTTAAAGTAGCACAAACAGAGTCTCAAGTTCTAGATGTGATAATTACTTGGTGTTATTTCTAAATCTCAAGTAATTATGAGACAGACATAAAAATCTGCACTGATGTTTTTGCCGTCTTGTTAAGCATGCGTCATAATAACATGGTTCATGTCACCTCTCATTTTCACCAACACAACAAAATGTATTGTTATAGTAACATCATTTGAGGTATTACCAAGAAAGATGATCTTTTAACTAATAACTGTTTTCTTCAACAAAGAAGCTTCAATCCTGTAATAATGTTAATTCTGAGCTTCTACTTAAATAAAAATGCACTCACTAATAATCAGATGGAGGATCAAAGTCATTTGTGTAAACTTTAGCCCACTGAATCCTGGACATTCATCTGTTAGTCCCCAAAATCTCAGTTTGGTTTGCATGCAATCAGTGCAAAGGGCTCAGACTGGATGTGATGACAAATATGCATAAGTGAGCAGATCCAGGGCAGAAGGTCATTTGCTCCTGAGAGACAAGCATTCCCTGAATTTTGCCTGTAAGGCAGACACTGCTAACAGAGAAGCTTCCAGACAGCCAGCAGCTGGAGGAAAAGTCAAAAGGACAAACATTCCTGTGATTAAGCAATGCATTTCAGTACTAATGTGTACAAACATGACCCCTGCGTATTATTTCTTTTTAATCATCTTCTATAATATACCATAAAAAGCTGCAATGCTTCAAACATTATGTCAATTAAGTACATGGTAATATGACTGAACTTCAAATCAAGACTCAGGTTGACCTGTCACAAGCAATAAAGCAATTAATTGCATGATAATTAAAAATAACTCTATAATTTCCATTTGCATGATGTACTATTTTTCTCTTTTCTCTCTTTCTAAAAAAACCTGGATGATAAAAGTCTTCAGTCTAATACTTTGGTTTCAACTAGACCCTTTTTTGAAGGATAATTTTGTTTCTAGAGACTTTACAATTCATTGTATTTGTTGTTTCTGTTGTTTTGTTTATTTATTTCAGACAATGTCTTCCAGTTCCAGTGTTAAATGTTGATGAGAGTTTAAAGTTTATTGATCTCTGAGAATGAGTTTTTCCATTATTGTTCCATTGCCATTATTTTACTTGAAAATGATCCCAAAATAACAATGTTATTGTTTATCTCAATAACTTCTGAGACAATTTATTGTCCAGTAAAATTTGTTAGCACAACAGGCCTAGACTCAGTTTTCTGTATCACAACAAACCATCTTTCACTCATTCTGTAAAGTACGGTTTGGTCAAAATGACAATCCTCCCTATTCTTGACTGTGGTGATATCAGATCTGCATCTAAAACTCTACTCCATAAGCAGTAGAGTTAAATAAAAAATAAACAATAAAATAAAAACTATATTATTATGGAGCTACCTCACTTCAAAGTTTTGCTAACCTGTTTGGTTAGCCTGAAGAAAAAAACAAAAAAACAATCTACTCTGTCACAGTTTTGGACAGTTTTGTCATTTTTTTGGTCATTTTTTTGTCATTAGCTGCCATCTCATGACGCCTCAGTACCTTATGCACATTCCTAGGATCCTCCAGCCAGGCGTAGTACATCTCCTCCACATAGTTGGAACTGGTTCCATTGAGAAAAGGTTCAGCAGCTACAGACGCTCTCAGGCTCCTCACAGGCTGAAACGTCCTTGTGCCTCTTTCCAGCGCCAACAGTCGGGACTGTGGCGCGATCTGGGCTGTCTGTGCAGCAGCTAAAGGCCCAAGCCTCGCAACTGTAGTCCTTAAGTGGTGCATGGCCGCAGGTCAGCCACAGTTCCTAACGCCCCAACTCTCCTCTTGGAAGAAAAATGCAGCAGAATGTGGGCAGTAAGGAGACCCTGTCAACATGAAGTCTTCTCCCACTCTGTTCCTGGAGATGTTTTTTAAATTGCTGGTGCTAGAATTCGTCCAGATGTTGCTCCTCACTCTTTCCACAGGTTGCAGTCGAGTCTAAAAAGGACACAGGTTTATTAAACTCTTCTAAAGAACAATAAAAACAGCAGGGCTGGATTAATACAAATGTAACTCTTCCCACATTGTTTTCCATCATTTTTGAATTCACTAATTATTCCAAGCTGAAGAAACCGCTGACCAAATGATGGAATATAGAGCCATTGTAGATAGAAAAAAATAGAGAGGAGTACATTTATGCCAAAAAACTCAAAAATTTTGAGATCAGCCTCAGAAATATATCTAGAAAAAACAAGGAAATTTCTACGTTTGAAAAGTTGAAAATGTGCTAGAAAAAACTGACATTTTTACATTAATCTCAGAAATGTTAATGTACTAAAAAAAATCTGAGAAATTTCTATGTATTTTTCTAGAAAATTTCAGAGAGTTTTTTTGGTGGAAATTTACTATCAATTAATCAATCAATCAAATTTTATTTGTATAGCACATTTCAGCAACAAGGCGTTTCAAAGTGCTTTACTACTTTTTTTGTTCCATCTGGTTCTAATGTGCCATCGTCAGAAACAGAAATCAATAACACAATGTCATTTATTAAACACACCTTTTGTGTCAAAATTAGAAATGTCCTTCTGTTTGTAGATCTTACTGAATTTGTGAAATTTTGCCTCTGGGGGCACAATTACCACAATTACCAATTACATCAGTGTCCTGATGTGACCACTGAGTTATGACACAGATGTTTGGTTTTATAGTAACAGGTTGGTTTTAGGCATGATTCAATAAAGAAATAGTAAAAAAAAAAATGTTGAAAAATATTTTGGTTTGGACAGCAGTAAGCAAAGTTTTTAATTTCTGAAAATAATTCATTTCATTATGTCCACCACATATACAGCCAGAGATAACTCTGGTCACTCAGGCACTTCTTTCTGGCTTCTCTTTAGAAGACTTAGAAACCGCAGGGATGGGATTTCAGAAAATCTTAGATGTTTTAAAACTGTTTTGAACAGAAATCAGCCCATGCCTGATTTCTAAAAGATCTAAAAGAAGACCAACTGGTCTTTTTTTTAAAAAATAAGAAATGTCATTAAGTGCAGCAGCAGAGCTAAAAGACAATTAAATTAATAACTTGGAGACAAACAGTGTTTGGTTTCTTGTTCAATATGTTTGGAGTGTTTTCATTTAATCAACTTTTTCAAACCATTTCTTTCAATAATAAACACATTACAGTAGTGTGTAAAATCATCTCTGCTGTCTGTGTTAATGTTCACATCTCATAATCCCGATAAAGATAAGACGAGCATTTGAAAAAGTTATGACTATATGAGTGTTGGGGTGCTAAAGTATAAATCGTTATAGACGAATCTAAACATTAAAAGTAAAAATAATATCCATGTATTATGATGGGTATGTCGTATTTAGTCTGAAAGGGACAAGATCCCGAAATTACACAGCAGATGGGTCAAATATGACCAAACCTATACCACAACTTTGCTCGAGGACCTGCAAACAACCCGGAAGGTCACGAGGAGGAAACTTTAAACCATTCAAATAAGTTAAACTCAAGCTGAAACCTGACGCGGACGTGTTCGTATATTTCGGTTTATTACCTTTATTTCTGTTGGTTTCCTGGCGCTTCTCTCGGCCTCTCGCTCCGCTGCTGCTGTGAATTAGGAGCAGCGGGTCCAGCGCGCCGGTGCATGGTTGCGGGCGCGCGCGTTTTTTGTGTGGTAAATAGCCGCGTGCGCTACGGCTCAATCACTTCACCTCTAAATTGCGTCATGTGATGATGTCAGCACGATAAGACGGGTTAGGGTGAAAAAAGAAAGAAAAAAAAAAGGAAAATCCGATGGAAAGGTGATGAAACACGTTCCTTTGTCAACAATTCCAATTGTATGGAAATAAGCTGCTTAGATGCATAGATGTTAGTCTAAAAAGAAAACATAAAGTAAGATAAATTAAGCTCATACGGTTTTATAAAAGAAAAACAGTTCAAACCTAAAAAAAGAAAAAAAAAAAGAAAAAAAAGATCACTTTCTTCTTAAATAGCAAGCGTTTGAGACATTGACAACCTGGGGGAAGAAACTACTTCTGTGGTGGCTGCTTTATCCAAATGAAAGTTTACGTTGCAACAACTTGTGTCCAGGATGTGGGGGGTCTGCAGACATGCTAGTTGTACAAACTGTCCGTTGTTGCAGAATTACACAGTTCAGGAGGTCCGACACAGTGAAGGAAACTTGTAAAAAGTAATATTTGAGTTAGATTAGGGAAATCAAACAGCTCCATGTCACCCTGAGAGGAAAAATCTTCCACTACACTTCTGAGAGACTGAAATGTTTTACATTACAATTAGACATGTGTTTCCCAAAATGCTTTAGAAAAACTTCAGTTTGGAAATGAACAAAGACCGTCTTCTGGAAATTTGCCTCCTGTGCCAGTCATTTTCATGCTAATGTGTATTATAATGAAGTTACTGTTTTGTCAACAAACCCCAGCTGAGATGCAAACAAGTCTTTGTAATACGAGAGGTTGACAGGCAGGAAGACAACACTTCAGTGAAACACATTCCAGTCATTTCTTAAAAAGTGAAGCATTTGGATCTTTGAGCTGCAGTGATGAACAAAGAGGGAAACAAGGAAAAAGCAGAAAGCCTGACTTCCAACATTAAATGAATTTAATATGTTGGTATTTAGGCAGAACACTAAACTCTACTAAATGGGGGATATTAGTGGTGATAAATAAAATAAGTTAGTGAATATTTAATTTTTCATCAAATGTAGTGCTGATATGTATCAAAAAATAAATGCATTTTTTTGTAGGCTAATTTTGATAAGGCTTTGTGATTTAAAGATATTTTGCTCTTTAAAGTATATACAGGGCATAAGGCATTAATGATAAAAAACAAAAAACAGCCAAGACACATGGAAACTGGAAAAACTGCAGAGATTCACAGGTTAGGTAGGGAAAAAAAAGATAGACTGAATTAGTATTAGTCATCCACCGCAGGAAACAATCTTTGCACCTTTCCACTCGAAACAAAGTGGTAGCAGCTTCATTCTGTGACTATTCTTCTCAGCAACAGTGAAGGAATATTTGAAGAAAACGATTGTTAGGAGGTTACAAAGCATTTGAAAGACAGAGCTGGACAACGACCCTAAACACACGAGCTACCACTAAACGGCTTAGATCAGATCACAGATCAGATCAAAGTCTGTCATGGTGGAAGCAGGACCAAAACACAGACAGGAACCTGAAATAATCAAAATGAACTGGATAATAAACAAGAAAATTGATGGGTCTCACAATTGAGCATCATGCAGTGAAACAGACAAGGAAACAAATAGTAGCTGCATTTCCATTGATCATATAATTGTGCATTTTGACATTTCGAAAATAAATTTGCTTAATGGACTCAAAACTCTCATTTTTCGATAAAATGTTTTGGCACTAGAATGAGGTGGTTTTTCAGCCCAAAATTTGTTAAGTTCGCAAAACTGCAATAGAAACAATTTCTTAACATCAAACGAGTCACAGGATCAACAGCTGGATCTGTGGGGTATGTTAGATTATCTCTAAGTTAGAATGACCAGAGGCGCACCCAAGAGGGGTGGGGGGCGTTATGGCCCCCTTTTGAAAAACCCTGACCACTCCACATTATTTATGTCTTCTATTGTTTCTGGTGCTTTCTAGTGCAGGATGGAATACTTTTGACTTTTTTTTTTTTCATCCATTCTATGTCCTGAAAAACAATCTCCATGGCTACTCTCCATGTTACGTATGATTTACTGCTGGCAGCCGTTTCATAAAGCATGTCTGATTATTGGACCAGCAGCAATAAAGTATTTTGCTTTGGAAGAGTTCAGTTTAAAATATAATTTCATGAGCAGAGAGAGGAGATAAGCTTCCAAAACAAATTGGCTTTTGCTGATTCAATCCTGCAGGCTCTCCAGATAAGACACCGTGGGTGATGTGTGACCTGTTGTACTTTCACATCAAGTACATTTGGACGTTCAGATTCATTGACAGGCGGCCTCACTTTATTCACTGCTACACCCAGAGCAGAGCAATAAATGTCAACCTTTGTCCTTCTGGCTTTGGCTACATGAGAACACAAGGTAATGACCCTCACGTTGACTGAAGGATGCACTCAGAGTAATCATTAAACTGTGCTGAATGGAGATCCCTCGTGTGAAATAAGTGAAAGTGTCAACACAGGATTCTGCAGTATAATGTGATATTTACATGGAATTTTGTGACTGTGTCAGTTCTGCTGCATTCATAAGATGAATTGAACTGCAGTAGAGGAAAACAGGAGTGTTTTGCTCTCTCCAGCTGTATGACAATTGACCTTATGAAAGTGCAATTAAGCTATTTTCAGAATTATCCTAATTGTTTGATCACAGAGTTTATTCCACCAATATCTACTTAATGTGTGGTGAAAGTTTAAAGAAATTGTCTCTTTACATATTTTGTATATTTTTGACTCCAGTTAGACAGTTAGTGCATCGTAGTATTATAGAATTATTAAATTGAATTGAAGTAAAATGAAGAATTTGTATCTACATCTATATATTGTCACCTGTGTGCGCGTGTGTGCGTGTGTGTGTGTGTGTGTGTGTGTGAAGGGGGGAAGGGGAATTTCGCTGCAAAGCTCTACATTTAATATAAAGTGTAACTTATAATGCATAACCTGTAAATGCAAACAAGAAAACACAAATCAAATGTGACTTAAAATCAAGTGAAAATCTTCATAAGTGGCAAGAAAATGTCACCTTGTCCAGTAACTCAATCTTAAACGCTGAAAAGTCACCTCTGTACATTGAGGAGAAGGTGACATTAATACGGACAAGAAATGATTCCAAGAAGTGAACCACATACAAATGTCTGAGTGTTCTTCCGACACTGAGTCAAGATAAAAGACAGAGGAAGTCTCTACTTGACCAGTTTATTTATTCACACACATTTTACATCACAGGACATTTTAATATTGACAAACGGCATAATAAGCTAGAAACATTGCTTTGTTTAACATATACTCGGTAGGTTTTGCTCTTACTTTTCTGACCTTTAGGAAAATAAAATCTTTAAATCAGACCTTTTTCATCAGTACCAACGCCTCGACTTCACAAGATAAATCAGTCTTCCACATCAGAGGAGAGACCGGCTTCCACAGAGACCCTCAATCTGATTAAAAAACTAATTTTATAACCTTGGCCTAGATAGAGAAAGGGAATCCGTTCTGTCCTATTGCTTTTTTTGGGGTGGGCTAAATGGCACAAATGCTAATAAAAAGCTGAGAATCTGCAGAATGTTTTTGAAAATAACCTTGAGACAATAGCATGTCTTTCTCTGCGAGGCAGAGCTGGCTCTGAGATCAACGATTCCACACAGATGTACTGTGGGTCTTACACACATTTCACAACTGGATCTTAATGTGATCATTTTAGTCACATTGACATCATGCATCTTCTAAATTATTGTGACATCTTGATTATTTGGTAAAAATTGTTTGAGTTTGAATTGGAAGTTGGACCTTGGATCTGGGGACAACAACCCCAGTTTAAATGTTCTAGAGCTGTGGTAGAAAACAGGTGACAGTCACTTTTTGTGACTAGATAGGCTCAAATCCTATCCAGGTTAGCCTATCAGGCTAACCTGCATTAGGAACATAAGCTAATAATTTATTTCTCTGCATTTATAGACTTGACACTGAAGCAACATATTCTCAGACATATTGATTTTCTTAAATTAAGTTTCACATAATTTAAGAAGCAAACAAAGAATTTATTACTATGTTTTCATTACATAACAGCCATGTTGAACGATGAGGGAGGGGTTGGTCATAAATATTTAGTACTTGTAAATCAGACTGTGTACTTGTGAATTTGCATGTATGTTTGTGTGTGTTTGAGAATTCCTGATCTCTCGGAGGAGCATTTGTGAGGTCAAACACTGATGTTGAGCAAGAAGGCCTGGCACACCAAGCTTTTATCTCCAGTTGTTTTTTTTTGTTTTTTTTACATTTGTCCGACTTTAACATTGAATTGTACTTAATTGAATGAATTATCTGAACTTAACTTGGACCTTGTTATATTCTATAGAATTAGGTCTGAATGGCCTCCATTTGCATTGAAAGGATCATTAATAAAACATTTCATGTGAATAAAAGATATATAAATAGAGTAAATAAAGAAAGTATTTCATGACAGAGCAATACAGCGTGTCCATTTCCAATAATTTGATTTAGCATAGCATGCTGGAGCCACAGTACTTCTGTTATGCATGTCGTTGTGGAAACAAATCTGTGCAGAGATAGAGTGAATACGTTTCAGTCATGTGGAAAATAAAAACATCCTCTTTGCACCTGTGTTAAAGCCGCATGTTGTTTAAACTTTACCAGGAAGATGTTTTCCTCACTAAACAGGATTATAAATATGTGACCCAGACCTGTAACTCTTCTCTGGGTATTTGTTAAAACTGTCACCATGTTGTGACAGCATGATATGAGACCAATAATCTGTGAAAAGATGGAGTTCCTAAACCTCCTCCATGAGCTACTACTGCCATCTGAAGAAATGTACCAGTTAAAAACAACCAATCAGAGCCAGGAGGAGGGTCTTATTGCTGTCAGTCAACCAAATGAACAGACTGCTAAATATCCTAAAGGCAGAGAAGCAACTCACCATGACAAGAAAACCGTTTATCCACTGTCATCAGTGGCATTCACTGCAGGCTCTGTTGATGGGGGAAAGCTGGCACCGTTCAAATGGGCATGATTGACAGCGGTAAGACCCGCCTCCTGCCTCTGATTGGTTGTTTCTAGCTAACACTGGGGGAAGGCAGAGGAGCTTGATTTTTCTTTTTCAAAGATTATTTGTGTCAAGCCACTGTCACCAAATAGTGACCGTTTAAACAAATATGTAAAAAAAAAAGTTTTTTGTAAAAGTTACATACTGCAGCTTTAATATATTTACTAGGATTCGATAGTTGAGAAGCTGCATATTGTTTGAAAAGTTGTTACTTCCAAGTTTTATGTTGGCTGAAATGTCTCTCTTCAGAAGGAATCATGTGAATAAATCAGGGAACTAGTTATTATGGCAGATTTAAATGAAATAAAATAAATAAATAAATATTCGAGTAATTTTCCCAAAAATCTCAGTGCTTAAAAAGCTGATCAATCCATTCATTACCACTTCACTTGCTCCGCCATGTTTAGCAGCTTCTTGGGTTCCAGGTGGGTGGGGCTTCATCATCTGTCCTGTTTGATCTCATCCTTATGAATTTCTGATGAAATCTTTGTGGAATCATTACTGAGAAAGAACCAGTCAGTTGGGATTACGTGTTAATCCGCAGAATGTAGGACAGGATTTGGGTGAATGAGTTTTATACGTAGTGTTATATTTCTCATTAATGTTTACAGAAACATAAAGCGACATGTGACAAAGTTCTAGGAGAGGGGTAGATATTCAACACACTAACATACAGAAGGAAAAGGAAAAATTTAAAAAGTATTAAAATGCAGCTTTCAGTCTGGTTTGTAAAAGGCAACAATTATTTTAGGAGTCAAACATCATTATTAGAGCTCCAACTACTTATTATTTAAGTAATCTATTATTCTATTAATTATTCCAATGATTATTCGATTGATCGGATAAAAAAATTGGCACATTCTGGAGATTTTTTATTTAACCACTTAAGCTTTTTTATTAAATAGTAGAAATTCATTCTAAGATACAAATAGACAAATTAAATTATTTTATTTTTAATAAGAAAACATTTTTATTTTTTCAGTGATTCTTGGTCATGTGTAGGAAAAGATGCATCTGCAGCTGAAAAAAATACATGTTCAACAGTTTTTATTTAATCTGTTGATTAATTTTTGGAATAAGTGATTAATAATTGGATAGTGCAAGATGCTTAGTTTTTTCTTTCACAGAATTTGAACCAGGTGCAGCTAAAACAGCCACTTAAGGAATTTTATACAGAACGTGTTTACAGAAAAAAGATCTGATCTTAAATACAAAATGTGTATATTTTTGTACATTCTTAGCCTAATTACTGCTCAGTATATAGTTTTTTCAGCAAATGGGTTTTGTTTTGTCTGTAAACTCCAACTAATTAATCGATCACTAAATTAGTTGACTATTATTTCAATAATCGATTCATCACGATTAATCGGATTAATCCTTTCAGCCCAAACCCTTATTTTAGGCTTTAAAACAGTTTTTTCCAGTCACATTTGCTTTGAATCTTAAACACCAAAAATACTCAACCAGGAGAGGATTTTTATTATTATTTTTTTGCTTAATAAACAGTAAAGAGTCGTTCTTACTCTGTTCAGGAGCCAGGAAATAGTGAAAAAAGCTTACATCCATTTTTTTTCTACACTGAACTTAGAACAGGACCTGCAGTTACACAGCCCAGGAAACAGATTAAAGCTCACCAGCAGTATCAGTCCATAGGAGACAAAATTCAACAGGAACATCCAATTTTAGTGATGCATTAACTTGGAAATATCATGCAAGTAAACACTGGCACAACAAAACCCGGAAATATACAGTACATGTGCAACGGGAGGGTGTGAATCTCAACCGTTTCTTGCCGTCCAGCAGGTCAAACATGGAGGAAATCTTCAAGAACAGGGAATACTGTAGCATGCTGCATGGGGTTTCCACTGTCTCACAGAGCAGCTCGGAGGGATTCCGGAGGGGTCCGGAAGGGCTCCGGGGGTGTCTAGGGGGGACACACGGAGGTGTCGGTTCGGTGTCAACAACAACACTCCAGAGAAAGAGGATTAAAAACAACAAAGAAGTAACAAAACACGTAGTTAAATACACCCACACACCTCTCTCTCTGCGAGAGACATCAGCTCTGTTTGTTCGTTTCACAGGCAGCTTTAATCGTGCAGAAAAAAAAAATAAAAAACAGCCACGATAATATTAAGAGTACAGGTAGGTAGTCATGCTTGTCATAAAAAAGAAGAAAGAAAGGGGTTAAAATGGGTAATAAATATACTGTACAGTAGAAAGAGCACAACAAGAGACTGCAGCCATAATAACATCAAGATCCATAACTGTATAATAGCGAAGAAGGAGAAAGCATCGATGGGGAGCAGGAGAGGGGAAAGGTGCAGTCTGGGTGTTTTGGCCGCATGCAGGCCAGCTGAAGTCGTGGCGCAGGCAGGCAGCGCTTCCTGCTCACGGCTGATATTGCGACCCCTGCTGTAGGTGTAGGTCGGGTTGGGTCTGCTGTTGTCGTGGAGAGAGAAGCGCTAGGTGGGTGCGCAGAGTGCCCGGGGAACGACCCCCATCCCGGAAAGCCTCAAACTCCTTCCCACACCCTTCCATCCACCTGCACGTCTCTCTCAGAGTGGAAGCCTTCTCTCTGATCGTTGGCTCGGTTCTGTTGGCTTCACGTCTCCTTCGGCTGGCTGGGACGGAAGAAGAGAGGGAAATAACTAATCAAGAGAAGACTAAAGACAGGAATCTATGTTCAGCTTGACTACCAGCTGCGTTTCCATTACAAATGTGTACAAATCTTTGTTGATATTCTGCCAACGCTGAAAAAACACAATTGCGGTGTTTCCATTAATAAGAAATGAAATTAAACTCCCTAACTATCATCCCAGTACTACTTCCTGTCGCCTTCTTTGTTGCTTTCATCAGTAGTAACATCCGGTTGTTGATCATATAACTCACATGAAAAAAGCGATTCCATTACAATTTTGCAAAATACATCTATTTCGATATGCCCAAAAATACACCTTGTCCTACCACAAAACCTTCTTATCGGAAAAAGTGAGTTTTATTTATTTATTTTTTTTTTGTCCGAAATTGACAGATTTTCATTATGCATGTGCTAAATCTGGCATTTGAACTGAGCGTTGTGGCCTCTATTTGTCGATGTTCAACCCATTCCGCATGTGAGCTTTCCGTTTGGCCGTACCTCATCCCTGCAGCGGTGCGGCAGGGGCTCCCGAGCAGTGGAAGTGCACGTTTTGCCACCGGCTGTCTCGGCGGTGCCATACTCTAGTCTCCTCTGATTGGCTGGAGCGAGGATGGCCCTGGCCATCTACAAACTGCGTCAGGCGAATGTAGGCGATGCATGCCGCGTCCTCTCCGATCATGTGCACGTGAGGGTTGAGGATGGTGGTGTGGATGGGTTTGCTGTTTTTGGAAAGGACTAAAGAGAGGACGAAACACAGCGTCAGGATGTAGATGTTCAGAAAGAAAGAGATAAAACGTTAAGCTGTGATCTTACGATTGTCAAAGTAAAATCTGTGGAAGTCCATGCCCTCTACTAGATTTCCCAGCCCCTCAGGCTCAAAGGAGGTAAGACCGGGGTCGCAGATCTTCCTGCAAAAAACAACAAAAAGACACAGATTTAGCTGAAAATGGCAAGGAATGTCAACGATTAATCATCTTCCAAAAGTCTACTATACTTGTTGAAATCTTATAACTTAAGACCTACATAAACTTCTTCATCAACAACTGGAAATAACAGACAGACTTTACACCAAAGAGTTTTATAACCACCTCTCTGACTTCATCACCAGAGCAGAGTGACATTGTCAACAAGCGTCCCAAGACTCAGTTTCCTCACTGGCAGGATTGAAGAGGTCTTCAAAATGTCTGCCCACTGACCCACACCATCCCAAGTTGATGTTATCAGCGCACCATCCTCACCATAGATGTGGTTGGTGGTGCACTGCTTCCCCATCCTGAGATGCCAAAAGGTGGATCAGAATCTCCTTAAAGCCATGTGGAAGTCTTTCTCCATGGTCGCACCAAACTTCTTCGATGCCGGAGGTTTCGCCTTGGTGAACACTTGAGCTCCATTCTGCTCAGAGAGCTGGGACCTATCGGGTGCTTCAGGGGTCCCAAAGGCCAAACAGGCCCAATATGACTCCAACTTCAGCATGGCGAGTGTCCACCAGTGACTTCAAGGTTGTCGCCACTACAGGTATCAACCACCTTGCAGGCATAGTTCTGGTCAGTTGCCTCAACCATGGAGGCATGGAACATGACCCAGTTAGACTCAATGTCCAACTGAATGTTCAACGTTCTGCTGGAGGTGGGCGATAAAGCTCCTTCTGACAGGAGACTCCAAAATATATTCCCAACAGATTCTCACAATATGTCTGATTCATCCTCCTCCAGCAGTCAACTCACTGGAGGAGGATGTGATCAGGTAGTGATCAGTTGACAGTTCTTCCCATCTCATCACCAGAATGTCCAAGATATGTGTCAGCAGATCAGATGAAACAACCACACTGTCAGTCATTGAACTGCACCCTAAAGCATCTTGGTGCAAAGAGCACATATGGACATGATGTTTGTTGTGGGCAATCCATGGCTGCCACAGAAATCCAGTAACCGCTCATGTTCTGATAAGGGGAGCTGTTCCTCCTCAGTTGGTCATTGATCCAGGTGATTGACTCCATCTGTATCTTCTAGAGTTTCAAAAACAAAACAAATCAGGATGAATTGTGTTAAATGCACAATTCAGCCTGAATTGTTTGTCAAATGAAATCAAAGAACATGATCCTCACAGTGCAGCATGCTTTGTCCAGATAACAGTGGCTTTGGTGAAACAGGTGTATGATTCAACTCCATCTCCATCGCGATAAGCAAACTGCAAGGGGTCTTGATATGAGCTTGTCTGCTTTTCCAGGTTGGCCAGTAGTCTCTACAGGACCTTCATGATGTGGGATGTCAGGACAACAGGTCTGTAGCCACTGATGACTTATGGGTGAGTTTTCTTCAGTACCAGAACCAGCCAGGATGTCTTCCACAACAACCTTCTCTGAGGTCAGACTATTGTTGAAGAGATGTTGCAGAATCCCACAGAGCTGCTCTGTAGTTTCAGGACTTCAGGATGACACCATCCGGACCTGCAGCCTTGTTCCAGTTCAGCCTCTCTGGCTGCCTCTTCACCTGACTTCTAGATACAGAAAAGTGGGAGGAGGAGGCAAAGGGAGCATCTCTTGATGTGACTGAAGACAAACTCATGGAAGCAGAAGATCCCTGACTGAAGTGGAAGATAAAACATCTCAAACTGAGGTTTGAGAAGAAAGCTGTGGGTCAGAGGAGTGTGGGATGTCTGTGTTGGTGGGGGCAGGAGAGGAGGAGGATGAGCTTGTTCCTGTTGAGGCATGTGTTCAGTTCTTCAGTCCAGACTTCCATCTACCTGATCCTCCTTTTGCTTTAAGCCTGGGGTCTTCTTCATCCCCAACTGCACATCTCTGATATTGTTCCTCTGAAGCTTGCACTCAGGCTTCTTCCTGTACTTTTCCTTGCTGTCTTTAATTTTGACTTCAAGTTGCTTCTGTGTACTCCACAATAATCCCGTCTCACTCCTTGAAGATTCTTTAGAAAAAGACTTGAAAAGGGTAAAAGGTGGGGAAGATTTTTCAAGCTACTTTGATGGAAACATATAACTTAAAGAGTTGGAATTCCACCTGGACTGTAACAGGAAGCCTGTGGAGGGAGTTGGTGGGATTAGGGTGATGGCAAAGAGCCCCTCCAAATTAAAAGACTTGGAGCTCCTCACCGAGGACGAATCTTCAAAATGCCAATGGAAACAACCAGAAAGTTGGTCGGCTGGCAAAATGCCATATTGAGAATGGTATAAATAATGTTTGCCATGAAATTGTTTTAACAAAACATGAATGAAACAGACACATTTTCAAACCGATACTGCTTTTACATTTACATTACTTTATTGTCTTTTAAAATTTGTCTGTCTCATTTAGTATCAAAAATAAACTTCTGGCATGAAAAAAAGTTTGAGCTGACACTGAAAATAATATTGAGTGACATTTACTTAGAAAAAGCTAGGCAGGTTTTTACACTTAGAAATTCTTTGTAATGTTCACCAGAAAAGTCTAAGTGGTCATTTTTACTTGAGTGTTACCAAATGTTGAAAAAAGTCAGGTTGTATTCACTCATCTTTTCCAAACACTGTTACATTTTACAACGTGTTTGTCATTAGTCTACCACGTCAGGTTCATTCCTACTATTGATTTTTTTTTCATCACATTCATTTTTCGTATGTTATCTTCCATTTTAGTGGAACTGCGCTTCCATCGCTGAGGACACACTAAACCTTCCCGTCCCTCTCCCTCAATCTGCCTGGCATTATTCTTAATTATACAGTAAGCAGGGGGGGGGGATGAAACAATGAATGTAATTACTCTTTAATCTTTTAATACAACACATTTTGCATGTCAATCAGATTAATGGTTCTTCGTGGCTGATAGAGAGCTTAAATGTTCACTTTACAGGATGCACTCTCTCCTGCTGCTGGCCTGAACTTTTAAAAGCAGTAAAGGATGAGGAACAGGGGGAGGGAAGGACTCACGCATAGGCCTCGAAGTCTCCGTTGTTGACGGCTTCAATAAGCTGCTCCGTGATCTTTATGATCTCCTGTTTGCGAGCTGCGGAGAGGAAGGAGATAGAAGGATGTGACAGTCATCCTCCCAAAAAAAAAAAAATAAAAATAAAAAATCCAACGGCTAAGCCAGAGCGAAAGGCTCTGAGGACCATCAGAGGCTGAGGCGAGTCAGAGCTGATCAGCTTGGTAGAGGTCCGGCTCCTGATTCCATCTTCTCCTTGAACTTTATGCACAAGCACGCGCACACACACACACACACACACACACACACACACACACACACACACCCATACACATGTTTGCGTGGCTATCTTTGTGGGGACTTTCCATTGACTTCCATTCATTTCTACAGCCTAAACCTTACCTTTACCCTTTTCCTAACCCTAACCATCACATACCTAACCCTAACCCTATCTCAATTCATACCTTAGCCCTAAATCTGACCCCTGACCCAAAAACAGGGTTTCCCCTTGTGGGGACCAGGCTCCAGTCCCCACAAGGAGCAATTGGTCCCCACAACGTAGTATATGTCAGGAAAATCGTTCCCACAAGGTATTACAAATAAACGCGCGCGCGCACACACACACACACACACACACACACACACACACACACACACACACACACACACACACACACACACACACACACACACACACACACACACACACCGTACAGCGTACGTACCCCCCATTGTGTGTCTTGGCACTTGGTCGTTCCTCTACCTCCATTCATCATCCATCATATCTCTGTTGGACACATGAGGCTGGTGGAGCTCATGCTGCTATTCTTGTCCCCGGCCTTTGGACGAGATTTACCCTGTCCTCCTCCCACCGCTTCCTCCCCACACTAAGTGAAGGGCTTAACTCACTCGGATTGTCTAGTTTCCTCTCTCTCTCCATCTCTCTCTCTTTTGCTCTCTCTCTCTGTCTCTCTCTACTTTTTGTACCATTTTCGATCATGAAAGCACCTCTGTGCTTCGTCTACGTGCTCTCCTGTCACATAGCTGCATGTCACATAATGAAAAGTCAGTGAAACAGAGACGTCAGACTGCATCCCTCTTTAATGTGCTTAAAGCAACATTTCAGTTTTAATTACAACAAAGTCCTGTCCCACAAAATTTCCACTGCTGGATTCTTTTGTCCTTGTTTCATTACAAATTTATACAGTGAGACATTTGGCAGCACTTAAATAAAGTGCAGATGGATTTGTCTTTAGCTACTTAGAGAATTAAAGGTTGAAGATGCATAGTTTCATTTGATTTCTGGGAAAGAAAAAGAAAATACTAAAAGATACGTTTGTAAAGATAGAAAATGGAAAAGGAATATGAAATGACATATATATATATATATATATATATATATATATATATATATATATATTAATAACCTAAGTGTTGGGTTATCAGGTAAATTATTTTCCCGCTGTCATTGATGACCTCATTCAGGGCGGAGCCTGTTGCAATTAATCACCTGTGTTGCAAGTTGACTCACCATTAGGTGCGTTTTCATTACAAATGTGAGCAAAATGTTTTCGAAATTTGCCTAATGTCGAAAAAAGCAACAAGAAAAACTATTTTGCAATTGTTGTGTTTCCATTAAAGTAGAAATGTGATTAAAATCACAAGTGAATAAGATTGCTCCCGAGATGAGTCATTAAAAATCAAGCAGCACCATCATCCTCCAACTACTTCCTGTCGTCTTCCTCATCTTTTTCAGCAGTAGTAGCACCAGGTTGTTTATCATGTGACCCATGATGTGAACTGAACTGTTGCTCAGTGATCCAGAGTTCTGTTCTTAGATGAAATTAAAATGTGCATTTCTTTTTGGAAATAAAGGTCTCAGCGTCTGGAGAAAGAGTGGAGGGGAACAGAATCCATATTGGTTGAAGTCCAGTTCAGTCAGTGACGGTTTGGGTCACCATGTTGTTTGCTGATTCTGGTCCACTGGGTTTTCTCAAGTCCAGTCAATGCAGACGTCTACCAGGACATTCTGCTGATGAGCTGAACGGAGAGGCTGATTTGATTTTCCTGCCCATGCAGCCAAAGGTACTAAAAGACGATGGCGTTCCTGTTCCTGATTGGCCAGCAAACTCCCCTGACCTTTAACCCCATAGAGAAACTATGTGCTGTGGTCAAGAGGAAGATGAAAGACACCAAAGGAGCCCCAACCAAATACTGAGTGCATAGAAACGATGCTTTTCAGAAGTCTATTTCTTGGAACAGGCGAGCTGCTGATCTGCCCTAAGACCAGGCCAGCACAGCTAAATGCCTTTCAGTTTGTGAACTTTCATTTGTCTTTATTTATTTTTGAAAGAAGCTGTCATGAGAAGAGCTCGATCAAGCTTTCTCAGTTTGTTAATCTCCTTTCGCCAACGGCAGCACTGGACTGTCCTTTATGACAGAAAGGAGATAATTCTGTCCCATAATCCGAAGCTTGGACTGCCTTACCAATAGACTTTCACGTATTTAAAACATACGAGGTCGTGATCAGGACTTTGGGCAGCTTACATAAGCAGCTAGTGATAACATGTTCATGTTCTGTGGCTTTTCTTTTTAACCAACCAAATAATCTAATATTTTACAAGATATATTTTCATTTGCTGAAGTGTAGCACGTGATGTCTCACTGAAGCAATGAAATAAGAACTGATGAGTTCCCATACTATCTATGCTTTGACCTACATCACAGTGCTGTCAAGGTGCTTGGTGTTTTATGTTGTAGAGGTATTGTTCCTCCTTTGTACAAATTTCTACCCATCAAATTTCCTTAACTTCACAATGCCCTTAAATCAGGTTAGGAAAATTGCTTAGGAAAGGGAACTGACAGAATTTTTCTAAGTTGTTCTGTGTTGGCCTTTTCCCCCACTGTTGTTTTCAGTCAGTATAGGTCATTTAGTCCATCATTCTTATTCTTAAACTGTCTGAATTAAAATCAAGATTTTCATTTAGATTTTGACCTAAAGACAAAGCTAAGCAATTTCTGCCATATCATGTTTTCCAGGTTTTCCATTTTTTCTTTCCCTTCATTGAAGACCAGTGAAAAACGTGAAGAGACCACATTATCTGAAATCAACGTTTTTGAGTTTTACCTCATGTTACAATGTTTTCCCCTCATCAAAAACATACCTGCAGTGTTGCCTCGACTCTTTCAAGCATGACTGAGAAATCTTTGCATCTCCCATGGCAACCATTCGACTGTGAAAATCACTTGGTGGGACCAAATGCCACCTTCGAGGACTAAGCTTCTACTTGGAGTTGGAGCTCCAAGTAGACTCAGCTCCTTTAGACTAGTCAGCAGCAATTAGTAAGCACCTATTAGAAGTGTGCATTTGATGAGCTTGTTATAGGAGCTACTTCTCAGTGCCGTGTACCAGAGTCGTGGGGGAAATGGAACTTGGAAACTGCAGCTTGGAGGTGGAGTTTCGTCCTTGAAGGCGGAGATAGGTCCCTCCAGGCATTTTTGTACAGCTGAATGGTTGCCATGGGAGTTTCAACAATTTCTCAAACGTGCATGAAAGAATCAAGGCAACTCTGTAAGGTATGTTTTTGATGATGGAATATTATAACAAGATGTGAAGCTCAGAAAAGTAAATTTTACATAACACTGCCCCTTTAAAAGAGAACAAAAACAAATGCACACCCCACTTTTCAAAGTTTTACTTGTCAACATTTTTATAAACTATAATGCTTAACCGGTCTGTTGTGTAAAATCCTAATGAAATACATTGAAGTTGGTGGTCATAATGTGACAAATTTGGAAAATTACTTCCAAAACTCTTCCGAGGCACTCTAATATTCAGCAGTTTTTAATTCAAGTGAGCCAGCTGGGTGTAGCTGTGTAGTCGGGGCCTACCTTTAACATCCTCATCTTCAATGGTGGTGTTACTGCTGTCGGACGATTCCTGAAACAAAAAGAACACGGAGCGCGTCGATGATTGGAACCATGAAACCAAATCAAACCTGGCTGTTCGTCCTGATACAGCATGCAGACCTGAACACAACACACTTACACTTCAGCCTACAGCTCCATCTTCACACAGCAGTTATGCCAATAATACAAAAAAGAAACAACAACAAAAAATAAAAAAACACAACACTGCACCCAGTCCAATCCTCTCTGCGGATTGAGCCCATCTCCGTGGAAACAAACGCAGACACAGGTAGAACGCTTAGCCACGTTTAGCACACAGTCTGAGTGGAATGAGTGTTAATCTGGCTGTGTTCCTGCTGACACACACTGATTTCTCAGAGAACTTCACTCATCTGAACGCAGTGAGGCAGCATAAGACAACAATATAAAAAAGCTCCACAGGTTCACGCCCACACACCTCTCTCATGCAGAGAAAGAAAATCACAAACTTCACAGTGTAAAAAGTATAAAATGAAAAAAAAGACCCTTTGAAAAACACTCCTTAGCCGACAAGGGGAGAGGAACAGAGTAAAGAGAAAGGATGACAAATGACGGGGAGAAGACGAGGAATAAGGGAGATGGAGGGAGGAAAAGAGAGGATGTACCTTGATCCCATCTACTGGGTTATGGATAACAGTAGTCTGAGGCTCCTGGAGGAACAATGGAGAGAAAGAGGGGAAGGAAAAAAGAGAAAGTGGGAGTAAATGAAGTCAAAATGGAAAATGAGTTATGACCAAATGAGAGTCAGCAGACAGTAAGACGAGAGTAACACATGGAAACAGGAAGAAAGTTCTGAACACGGGAAGAATCTGGGACAAACGGTGACAGCAAAAAAAAAAAAGAGAATGTAGTCATGTAGTTATTCTACTTCGTCTTGCTTCTTATGAAAGATGAAACCTAGCAGATTGTTGTTCATTGTGCTAGGAGTTAAGTCCTTTAAAACACACCAATAACCCACCGAGGGACACTGAGTCCATCAGAACTTACTCTGCTGGTCCGAATTCTTCCCAGAGTTTGATTCAAAGCTTTGTTCTTTTCAGTAGCTGCATTTCCAGTGCAAATGTACACAATAACTTTGTCAATATTCTGCTAATGTCAGAAAAGACTAAATTAAGCAATTATGGTGGGGTGTTTTTTCCAAATAAAAAACGCAATTAAAAGTCACAAATTAATACGTTTGTTCATGTGAAAAAATCTGCCATTTTGTTTTTCTCCTACCACTTCCAGTTGTCTTCTTCGTGGTTTGTGCCAGTGGAAACATCCTGTTGATCACGTGACACTCGTGTGATGTGAAAAAATGCAGTTTTTCAAAAACCAAAAACCATAAAATGCACCTTATTCTAGCACAAAATCTTTATTCATTAATAAAGACAATTTTTATTTAGTTTTTAAAAGTCAAATTTTGTAGTTAAATGTTCAATGGAAGCACATCTAGTGATTTAGGTCAGTGTTTCCCAACCCTGGTCCTCAAGGCTCACTGCCCTGCATGTTTTAGGTGTTTCCTTGCTTCAGCACAGGTGATTTAAATTAGGAGGTGTTTGCTGAACTGCAATCAGCTGAATAAGGTGTATTAAACAGGGAAATTTCTAAAACATGCAGGGCAGTGTGCCTTGAGGACCAGGGTTGGGAAACACTGATTTAGGTCCACTGAATGCAACACAAGTATTTCTCCCACTATGCAAAAAAAAAACAAAAAAAAACTACAGTTTCCAAACGTTTTTCCCTTTAACAACCAAACATAAGTGCAGCTCTGGTCACTAGTTTAAATACATTCCTCTTGGATACGACACTTTAAAATATGAACGTGAGGAATCTTTTTTCTCCCCAAGAGTGGAATGACGATAAAAGGTAAAACTTCACTCAGTTTTAAAAAAAGGAACAGGTTTGAAGGAATGTGTTTTTATATCCCCCTCAGGTTAAAAATTAATTAGTAGGAAACATACATTCCGACTAATATTTCATTAAAGTTGCAGAGAAGCAGTGGCGCCCCCAAGAGGGGAAAACACGTTGGTCACCCGACAGGAAACCTCCAGAGAATCATGTTGAGTTTATTCAAAGGAATACAGCCACCTTCAATCTAGACAGAAACATTAAACCTAATAAATAAATAAATAAATATGAAATAATAAATATTAATAATAACAATAAATAATATCACAGACAGACAGACAGACAGACAGACAGACAGACAGACAGACAGACAGACAGACAGACAGACAGACAGATAGATAGATAGATAGATAGATAGATAGATAGATAGATAGATAGATAGATAGATAGATAGATAGATAGATAGATAGATAGATAGATTTCTGCTTCAAAACGATCCTGTCTCAGAGGTCTACAGACATTTCCTTTCATGTCATTGTTGGTGTTTGACCTCTGACCTGCACTGTCAGCAGTGGGACCTTACACAGACAGGTGTGAGCCTTTCCAAAGGGGAGATGACTACACAACCCAAACCTCTAGTCAACCTTTGCATCGACAGACATTTCTCGTGAAACTGCGATTCAAAACTTTATTTTGCAAACACACAGAAAATACACATTCTTTCACTCACACACACACACACACACACACACACACACACACACACACACACACGTACACACACACGCATACATGCACGCACACAGGCACTCTGTGCAGAGTAGATGTGGTCCGGACAGACAGACAGGACACAGAGCTGCGTACCAGTGCAGCAGAAGGGACGTTGCCTTTGGGACTGGTGACTATGCTGTTTCTGGTGCTGTTTGTCTGCGGCTGTGACGGAAACACAAAGTGGCATTAGTGCTCAGAGACAACGCAGACAGGTGCCATCTGCTGGCTGGGAGTGGGTGGGGACTGGAAAAAAATAGATACACAATGTAATCAAGGTAAATATAGATAGCAGAGGACAATTTAACAAAATAACACTAGGAAGATCAGATGGAGTGTTTTTATGCAGGTCTGGACAAGAAAAGGGTTTCCATGGTGATTCCAACAACTGGGATAGAATTGCTTAAGGATTAAAGGGTCAGTTTATGATTATAATTTGAGCACACTTGGTTTGCAATGGCCTAATCAGAGGATCTAAAGAACAAGGCTTGATTGCAGTTGTTGTTGCCAAGGATGACACAACCAGCTATGAGGTTTGGAGGGCAAGTGTGTCGTCAAGGCCAGGTAGATTAGGAGACTTGTATCTTTGAATAAATGCAGGCTGGTGGTTTCACTAGTTTTGATTACAGATTTTGCCTTTTGATATTAAAACACAAACATCAAGCAAACTTTGGGACTAAATCCTAGTAAAAAAACCCCTAAAAATAACAAAGCAACACATAGCTGCTTCGTTTAGCCGGAGCAGATAATGAGACCCGCAGCACTTACTTCTGACAGAACTGTGAAGCATAACAGGCAGTTCACACACACCCACACAAACGACATAACATGCTAAATATACAGCCGCTCTGTTTCTTAAATAAGTAGCGAGAATGTAAGTGCATGTTCTAAACCAGCATGCAGAAACAGTCGAATGCAGGCGTGACGCACACACACCCCACAGAGGAACGCTCCGTTTTCCTGCTGCTGAAAGCCGAGCTGGGGCACAAAACTGGTTGCAATCATTCATTTTATACGTCTATATATTTAGCACCTTAATACTGAGGCACATGAAGTGGTTATATTTATGGTTATAAAGGTACATAACCTGGAGTCAAACAAACTCTTCCCCCGCTGGGGAACATTTCAAACTCAACTACGAAGCAAATCTGAGTGATTTAAATGTTGTTTGTGATAATCAAAAGAAAACATCAGCAGGGATTTGCTGAGTGGAGCGCTGTTAATACAGCAATCACTTCAGTAAGTAATTTTGTTGCTTTTTCAATAACAATGTGAAAACATTTGAAGTGCCTTTTTGTTTGCTTTTTTTTTTAAATGGAATCGGCATATTCTGTAATTTACATTTATACGCAGAGCTTTTTTCCTCTTCAGTCAGTTTTAAATCTTTTGAGACTTACATTACCTGGGATACAGCTTGAACTCTGTTGTGTTGTGTTCCACCAGGAGCTCATGTAAGAGGAAGTGAAAGTTTTCCAACTTTAAAAACAAATTCAAATCTGAAATTTGAGCTATTTTTGCACCATAAAGCTAAATCAACAGTGACATTATCCAACAATAATCCATCATTCTGTTTAACTTTTTCTTTAGTTTTAGTCTATTTTCCACATGTAACAAAATCGCAGCTGACAAAATATTTTCCATCCCAGTTTTATTGGACAAAGTCAACCCTGCCTAGTAGAGGGCGCATGTTTCTGGATCTGAAACAGGCCAGGTAAAGCTTTAACCTTGGCCTGAGCTTCTCCAAAATATATTCAAGGAGTAAAAACTTCATTCGCAGGTAGAAAAATAGACACAATAATGTGAATCCAGAATATTTCAATACCACTACCCTCATTATTTAAATAAGAGAGAGAAAGACAAAAAGGGATGTGAAACAGAGTGATTTAATCTGAGATGTTGTTCATCATAAGGTTTTAAATCTTCTAGTCTTAAGATAAAGCTACAGTACTGAAGGATAATAAGACATTTCCCAGGTTGGCTGCCTTCCTGTGACTTCACAGCACAGATCTGGCAGGCCTGTGATTATGTAATGACAGATTAATCATCTGGTGGGAAATAATCTGAGATTAGCATCAGGGCGCTCCACGCCAGCAAGGGGAGGGTTAGTGATGTGGGAAAGAGAGACTGGAGGAGACAGAAAGAGGAGACTGGAAATCTGCTTTATTAATAAAAACCGTGGTGGAATCAAGGATGGTTAACTGGATGCCTGATAACAAAAACAAACATCTGTGTATCGGGTTATATATTCTTACATTTTGGTCCCATCAGAAAGTTATTTTGTTCATCTTAGTTTCATTTGATTTTCTACAACAGCATATTAAGGCCATTGTAAATAGAAAAAAAGCAGAGGAGTAAATTTGTGAGGAAAAAAAACTAATATTTTTTAGATTAATCTCAGGAATTTTCTATAGAAAAAGCTTCAAGAACATTTTTGAATTTCAAAAGTTAAAAATTTTCTATTTTTGAAACTCAGAAAATTTCCAAAAGAGGAAAATGCTTGACTTCTGAACCTCTGAAATGTCCTTTTTTTCTTTTTCTTTTTCTTTTTTTTTAGAAAATGTTTAACATTTGAAACCCAGAAAGACCCTCAACTGACAGGACCTACTCAACGTAAGTCTCCATCAGCATGACAAATGGCAATAGAGTCATTTGAAAAGCCAGGTATTAACAATATTAAATGTGGGTGGAAAAACAATGTGGCTTCATATTTTCAACTGGCTTTCAGTTCAGCCAATAACAGTAAGGCAGATAGAACTGTAATTAACACAAAGCTTCTGTCTGTTCCAATCATTTAAAATGAAAATGTATTTCTAGTGGGTTGTTGAGGGTTCTGTTGACAGGCTGCAAGTAGCAGGAATCCAAATAATTGTTGTATAATTACAGCAGATGAGTGAAGTTAACACTATTAACAGCCTCACAGTGTTCACACCTAACAAGCCCAGATGAATTAATAATTACACCATGTCATTTTATGGTTAATTTGACACCTAGAAAGGATATAAAATGCTAATAATATTAATTATGTGTTTGATATGGTTAATTTACTGTACATGAACAATTTGAAAGCAATTCTTCATTTGTTTTAAGCCTGGCAGGTCTTATTAGCCTTGTTGTGACAGAGCAAATCTGCTGGGAAACTCAAGTTAAGGCTGTCCTAGACCAGCTTCCATGTTCATTTAGACAGAAGTTAGCATTTGATTGCAGGCTTCCAACTCAGGAGTTTAGTAGGTGAATAAGTCGAATTTTTCAATTGTTGACTCAAGCTATAAACCACTGGTTAATTCCAGTACCTAACGGCAACAAAAGCTACTAGCTAACATTTAGCGAAACTGTGACCTGAGGAAAACATCAGAAAGCTTAGCATGAATTCATCTGATACTACGTGTGATTTAATAAAGTAACTCTGGTGAGAAAGAATAACAGTGAACTAATTTATTCATGTACTTGATTTGAATCAACTGATGGTGGAGTTTGGGAGGTCAAAGTGAAAGCAGGTTCATAGAAGCAGGTTAACTTTGTGTTTTTGTCATTTGTTCGGCTTGCAGTTGTGCTTTAATAAGATTCGTCTTAAAGGAGCAGTTTTGTGCAAAATCGACTTTTTTAAGCTTTACATCATGCTATAATGCTATTCCCTCTTCAAAAACACACCTGGAGTTTTGCTTTGATTTTTTTCTTGCATGCTTGAGAAATTCTTTAATCTCCATGGCAACCATGGAGCTGTGCAAAACGCCTGGGTGGCCCAAGCTCCGCCTTCAAGGCAAAGCTTGTCGTTGGGGCTGCAGGTTCCAAAAGTAGCCCTCCCCCAAACCCCCCCTCTCAGCTCCTTCAGACTAGCCAGCAGCAATTAGCAAACATCTTGTGGAACGGTGCATCTGCTGAGCTCATTATGCTAACTGCTTCTCAGTGCAACACTGGTAAAAAACGTAGTTAAAGGGCTTATAGAGGAGTGATGTTGAGATGACTTCCTGAAGGCGGAGTTTCAGACAGAGCAGGAGCTTTTAAAGAAACAGAGGCCCAATTTCAAGACGTTAAATTACAACATTTTGTTTAAGTCATGTTTGATATGTACAGTATTTTACAACAACTAAAGTTAATATAATACTGGACTGTGCTACAAAATGGCACTATGTGGCTTGAAAATACTTATTGCTGCCCCTGTAAACATCGTAGCTGACTTTCACAGAGCTTCCATCCAGAGAACACACCGAGGCTCCCACTGACTCATGCAAACACAGCATGCTTATACAGCACACACAAGACACAGGTTTCCAATAGAAGTACACCGCGTACTGCAAACACACACACACACACACACACACACACACACACACACACACACACAACAGAAAGCAGCAGACTGCAAACACTTCAGACTTTAGATGAAATTACAGCAAAAATAAGCGCAGCAACACCATCAGAACCCAAATTACTGCACATTCAGCACCTGAGAAGTCTCTTCGGAGAGTTGAAGCATGCAGAAATTAGTTCTTTAATGAGATTCGCTTTGGCACTGAGGGAATATTTTGAGTGAAAAATGTCTGCAGCAAAGCTGCGTAGTGTCGGCCAAGCCGAATGAAGACGTCTGAGAGAGCAAACACTGAAAAAAATAGAATGCAACTCCAACTTAAAGAAAATGCAATGATTGGTCATAGGTTTTATATACATAACCTTTATTTTACCAGAATAAAAAGCCCATTGAGATTAAAAACATGCCAACAGAGTCCTGACCAAGAAACAGCAACAAATACATCACACAAAATCTAATTAAGTTACTCCACATTAATTTAGTAAGTTTATTAAGTTGTCAAAGTAAATAAATTCAACAAACTTCATTCAACTGCTTGTGACTAATTAACACATTCATCTTTTTTTAAAATTGGAGCTGTATTCTCTTTTTTTCAGTAAAGTTGCAGAGAATTAGATGTAGATTTCAAAAGATTTAAAGAAACTTAAAAAAAACAAAAAAATGTTCATGTGAGTCATGTGAACATCAGTGGGTTTGTGATATCGAACACAAAACTTATACCAAGTTTTGAGTTTGATATGATCATAAATTAACCCAATATGCCATTGTACAGGCCTCCTTCAGGCTTAAAGTGCACTGAAAAAAAACCAGGTGATCCAACTTTAAAAAAGAATCAAGTTAATTTGTTACAAGCAATCAAATTAAGTTCATCCAAGAAAATATATTAAGGTTATTAAGTTGTCATGTTGAACAAACCTTAAAAAAAAGTAAGTTTGACAAGTCTCAATTTATTTTAAATTGGAGCTCCTTTCTTTTTTCTTTTTTTTCAGTGTACAGGCAGAAAGAGGTCTGGTATTTGCCTTTTGATTTTCAACCGGTAGAAATAAAACTTCCTGCAAAACAACGACTCATGCTGTGCCATTAAGGCTAAAACTCTGCAGTACTTAATGTAACAAGTTTGGCATGAATTAAAAAAAAACAATAAATATGGAACAAAACAGAGACGGAGCGGATAAAAACTGGATCTGGCCTACCTTGACGTCTGCCTTCTTGTTGAGGAGACTCTTGGCTGCTGCAGAGAGGCAGAACGACACACCCTCAGACGGAAGAGTACACATCATAGCAAAACGTTCAGACCACCACCACTCCTAAAAATCTGCTCACACAAAACACACACGCACGGTTACTCATGCAAGCATGCAAAAAACAATAATAATAATAAAAATAATTAATTAGAAAAACACCACCTGCTTGAAAGCAAGCTGGAATTATTACAAATAAATGTAAAACTGATCAAAAACATTCCCTTTTGTTCAGTGGGAAACATTAAAAACTGGCACTTCCGAACCCTGATTCGCTGTTCAGAGCATTAGATAAGCAGAGGGCATCAGCCATGAGGGGAGGAGGGGAATGTAAAAAAAAAAAAAAAAGTCTAATTCTCCATATAATCCAAACACACAGATGCACACACAGCCACCGCTCCACGGAGGGGGGATTAGGAATGGAGCTGTGGAGGAAGTGGAATAGAGCTGCAGGTAAACGATAATGGGTCGGTTAATCTCAACAGTAGGCTGGATTACTGCGGTCCGTTGACGGCTGCAGCAGGAAGTGAGGGGCAGGGAGTACGGAGAGCGCAAGCTCTGGTGCCGGGATACTTTCTGAGATGTTAAAAGCGAGACGAGGAGCCGCGGCGCTGACGTTAATCCCTCATCAGAGCGACACTACAGCTCTGCGTGAAGCTAACCCTTTCTTTCTCTGCCCCCTCATATTCTAAATACCACATGCACTGCTGATTCCTATTACCACAGAAGAAGAGATGAAAATTAATACCCTCTTCTCACAAGCTGCGTTTCCATTCACCATATGACTGCGCAATTTGACATTTCGAAAATAAATTTGCTTATTGGAAATACTCCAATTTTGAAAAAATAAAATAAGAACTAATTTCTCGACAGAAAGTTTTGGTGATGATTTTTTTATTGTTGTATCGAAATTAGTTTACTTCGCAAAACTGCATCACACCAGTCACATGATCAATAACCGGACGTCGCCACTGGCTCAAAACATGAACAAGACGGCAGGAAGTGGTGGCCTTTGTCAAAGTTTTTGCGCAAGTTTGTAATGGAAACGCAGCTACAGAGGAGCAATGAAGCTGCTTACCTTGGCCGATATTTAAGGTGCGTTAAAGGCGAACAGAGTGAAAGAGAGAGATTAAAACAAGCAAATAGTGTGTGTGATGTGCAGATGTTCATGTAACTGAATCAGTTTAAGGATTTTCCAATCCAGAGGGAGGGGAGGAAGCGGGTTCACCTTGTTCCACGATTCCAGCAGTGGTTCCTGCCACCCCGCTGACGGCAGCCGGAGCTGTGGTCTGTCGACCCACTGAAACACAGCGGAGAGAGACGGGACTATTGGACAGGAGAAAACCAGGAACTGGTCATGGAGTGCTTTGGCAAAATATTCATACCACCCTGAACTTCACATTTTTCCATGATACAACCACAAATGTTAATTTATTTAATGCAATTTTATTTAACAAATATCAGTTAGTTCTCTATCATTTTTAAGTGTTCAAGAGCCATTGTGAGCCACAGGTTGGAGACCCCTGGGTTTGATATAAAGCTGCAGTGTGTCACTTTTAGTTTTTAAAAAAATATTTTGTTAGTATTTGTTATCATATTGTGACTGTTATGACACAGATCATCTGTGAAAATAACCAATCCATTCTGCTTTCTCCCCATGCTAACCAGAAACAACCAATCAGAGCCAGGAGGCGGGTCTTGGCGCTGTCGATCACCCTACATGTGGTGCTGCTCATCATCCCACTCTGCCTCTCTGCTTGGCGCTGTGCTACGCTGCAGCTATGCAGCTAATAAAGCCTGTCCTGAACGCTAGGGCTAGTTAGCTTGGCAGATAAATGCTTTTCCTGTAACAGTAAGTTGTTTCTCCACCATTGGCACATTTAGCAGTGAGGGAAGACGTGGAGGAGATTGGTCTTTTCGCAGATTGTCCGTCTCGCATTTCATTGTCATGACATAGTGACAATTTTAACAAATGTGTAAAAAAAAAAAAAAACCTTTTTAAAAAACAGTTTTTAAGCATGCCTGTGTGTTAGAATGGCCAAGTCAAACTTCACACTCAAATCTATTTATAATCTGCCAAGACTTGAAATCACAGGGAGTTTGAGTGAATGAGTTTAAGTGACAAGATAAAAGTTTGTTGTTCTACTAGGGAGCATAAAAATGTATATATTAATGTATAATTTTAATTCTAGTTCATATTTTGGTTGCTCTATTACATAAAATTCTCAATAAAATATATTAGAGTTTATATTTTTGACATGAAACAACCTGGTTGTGTTGTAGCTTAAATATGCTTTACGGTTTAACCCAGGTACTGAAGGGGTTTGAATACATTTTCAAAGCACTGCATGTGTAAGACATGCTCTGTCATTCAGCTGTCTCTGAGTCACTCTGCTGATTGGTCTAATTCTGTCACATGACCTAGCGGTGCCTTTTTTGACTGAAAAACTCAGACCAGATGGGATGCTATGACACTACCGGACACTTTGGCGGCCATGTTGGTGAGGCTTACGGTTCTGGACTCATCAGACAGATATTAACATTTCAAATGTTTGTTCCTCACACCAGTTGTCTTCTTCTTGGTGCGTCAGATCGTACGTATCTGTGTGCCGACTGACCTCGGAAGCAGAGGCTGATCTCTGATTAAACACTCATCGGAAATAAAGGGAACTTCCTTTTCTCCTCATTTGGCTGAGTAAGTGGCCATGAAATTCATTAGCTGCAGTTCCAGAATGAGGTTTTTCCTACCAGCACTACTGCAACACATCACAAGTAATGGTCTATTATAATTAAGATGTTTAGTTAGAACTGTAGGGAGCTAAAACTGAACAGGATGAACTATATGGTTTTTCTTCGGCTTTCTCGGCCATGCGTGGAGAGATTTTTCACATTTCTTCTGTACTTTGCCATCATATGCATAAATGAGTGTGAACTTTAGTGTGGGTGTGCTTGTGTGTGAAGGACAGATGGCATGTCACCAGTCTGATCGGAGCACAGTTCTTACCAGAGAAGTTCCTGGAGACGAGCATGGTGGTTAAGATGGCTCCCTTTGGTTAGACAGAGAGAGAGAGAAAGAGAATTAAAAGCACCAATTTTGAAGTGCTAATACAGAAATAATTGTGGCAGATTTTTCAATATTTGCTCTTATGCATAAAAAGAGAAAGGTGGCATCTGTCTAGCCAGGCTTTTTGTGGATCTGTAACCCTAGAAAATTCTGTGGACTTTTTTTCTGAAATTTGGACCATTATTGTGAAACCGCTTCTTTTATTACATCTCTGTCTCCGGGGAAACGGACTCTCAGGACTCACACTCTCTACCACATTTTCTCCAATTGGAATTCATTCCCAAACTTTTTTTAAGCCCCTTTTCCTGCCAGGGATTTTGAATAAAGGAAAAGGAAAATCTGATGTCTTTGAAGAGTTTCAGTCCCAAATAAGAGAATTTTTTACAATGCTTCCCATTGAAAAAATATGTGAAGGAAAGCTGCATATGTTATCAAATCACTCTGGATAAAACTAATCTCTATCATTGCATATTATTGTCTTTGTGTGAATCTACTTGCCTTGATTGCCTGTCACTTTGCTGATCTCTATTTCTATAATGCTGCTGAGTGTGTAAAATAAAATGTAGAGCAATAGAAGAAGAAACAAAATGTCTTCGTGACATATTTAGTGTTTTCACACCTTAAGTTTCCGCCTGGCGTTAAACTTCTTCAGGCACTCGACCGTCTCCTGTCTGTGCATCATGGAGGCCACCGTTGAGCGTTGCTGTGGGGAGAGAGAGAGATAGAGAGATGCTGAAAATAAAACATCACAGCAGAGCAGCTTTGGCACTGACAGATTTATGTGGGCAGAAGCTGCAGGAGAGCCTCTGCTTTGCACAACACATTTTGTTGATTCTGAGGCTCCCGAGGTACCAGGCCTAAACAGATTCACGTTGCTCTTCGTGGATTCTGGCCAAAGTATTTTGAGTGCTTTGCGAGGTTATGGAGCAGAGCCAGCCGTCGGTAAACACAGCAAACTGAACTACAAAGGCAAAATTTATCCAAGGGGCAATATTTGACCTCAGGAAGCTGCTGTTTGCAGCTGAATCTCAAAGCTGCTCAGAACCAAATAGAAGAAGTAAATCCTTCCTACAAACACTTCATTTTGCTTCACGATAAATTCCATCCCATCTTGAACTCTATGGTTGTTTTCCCACCTGATAGTCTGGTTGCTTTGGTTAAATTGGGGACCAAAACTGCAACATTTGTTCCAACTTCAGCTGCTGAGCTGCTGAAGTCCTCTTTCAGATTGCACAGGGACAAACAAACCAAACACTTTGAAAAACCTGTTCTCCTCCTCGCCTGTGGAGGCGCTGCACCAAGAGCTACTGGAGAAAATGACACAAAAACCTCTGACGAAGACACTGAGCTCAACGTCCTTCTTCACGAAATTTAAACAAAAATGGAGTGGCGTGAAATTTTAGCAATTGTAGGATTTCTCTTTGGCAAAAGACCACGAGTAATTTCTAGACTAGCTTGTTTGTTTTGGTTGTATTTACCCAGAATGCCCTGTGCTGTAGTCCTCTTCCTGGTTTTGGACGGTCTGCGGTCCAGTTGGCAATCACATATCATTTCAAACTGCACCAGAGTTCACTCCAACCAAACTGAGACATAGGATTGCTTACAAAACCTTCATCTGGGCTTCCCACAATTGTTCAAAAGCTCATTTCTGAATATCAAAAATGTCTAAGATGTCTTTCACCCATTACTCTGACATTTAGCAAACAGAAATTATTTGGGTAATCTTGACTGACCTAAATCAGAAAACGTTTAGTCTGATTCATTGTCTTCTTTCATACAATATGTGTAAATATCAAGTTTCAACTGCACAAAACCTTGTCAGAGAGAAGTCACACTTTAGTATTTCTTTGACACTAATTGTCCAGAGAAAGCCGGGCTGGTATCTGCTCCAGTCAGGGATAGATTGCATGTTTGGGAACAGATGGTGGGAAGGCTTGGCAGCTTCCATCAGATGTTCTGAGACTCCCAATTAGGCCTTTACAAATTAGTCAAAGTGGAGGCGAAGAAATATTGTTTTCTGTCAGCAGCAGCGGGGTTCTGGATGTGCAAACGTCACTTACGCAGACCCACGGGTGCTTCAGAGCCTCTTGGGCAGTGATTCTCTTGGCAGGGTTGATAGTCAGCATCTGGTTGATCAGATTTTTAGCCTCAGGAGTCACCGTGTCCCACTCTGGAGAGGGAAACTAATCAAACCCATACATACACACACACACACACACACACACACACACACACACACACACACACACACACACACACACACACACACATTCAACAAATATGTAAGCAGCGATATTTTTTCCATCTCAAGTCAGAGAAAAGCGAAGGAACAAACAAGCTCACATCGTATGCTCCGGCTTTGATCTGCTGGTAGAGCTTGTGCTGGTCTTCGTCCCAGAACGGAGGGTACCCGACCAAAAGAATGTAAAGGATCACGCCTACACACAGGAATACATCTGTCTAGAGTGACGGGCTAGAGAACAAGGAGGCGGCAAGCATGACGATGTAAACAAAGAGCTTACCACATGCCCAGATATCTACAGGTTTACCGTACGCCTCCTTCCTCAGTACTTCTGGGGACAAGTAGCCAGGAGTTCCTGCAAAGCCTGCAAACAGAAAAGAAGGGAAAGTAGGATGCACATTCTTATAATTTTAGATGAGATATTTATACAGAAGATACTTTTTTACAGGTACGTCTCAAAAGATTAGGATGTTGCATAAAAGTGAAAAATGTCAGTCACCTCGGTAAAGTGAAATGGTTCATTTTTATCAAGATTCACAGAACATAGAGTTAACACCGTCACATATAAATCAGCTAAAAGATTCCTTAATAAAAACATTTACAGGCAGATGATTCCTTGTCAAAATGAGTCAGAACAACCTTAAAGACATTTAGCGACATTAGCATCTTTAGCTTCATGTATTTCTTGCAACTGGTTCCTCGTGGCCTGGAGGCGATCAGCCTGTGGTTCTGCGTAGGTGTAATGGAAACCCAGGCTGCTTTGACAGCTGAATGAAGGTCATCTCTCTTGTTGGGTCTGATGTTTCTCATCTTCCTCTTGACAGCAGTCCATAGATTCTCTAAAGGTCAGGGGAGTTTGCTGGCCAATCAGGAACAGGAACACCATGGTCACTGACGCAGCTTTTGGTACCTTTGGCATTGTTGATCGGTGCCAGGTCCTGCTGGAAAATCAAATCTTCTCCATTCAGTTCATCAGCAGAGGGAATCATGAAGTTCTCCAGAATGTCCTGGTAGATGGCTGTGTTGACTGGACTTCAGGAAATCCAGTGGACCAGAACCAGCAGATGACATGGCAACCCAAACCGTCACTGACTGTGAAAACTTCACTCTGGACTTCAACCAAGATGGATTCTGGTCCTCTCCACTCTTCCTCCAGACTCTGGGACATTTCACCAGCTGTTTGCTAATTGCTGCTGGCTAGTTTGAAGGAGCTGAGTGGGAGGAATCGCGGGGCAGATGTTTGTGACACACATGGATGAAAGAATCAAGGCAACACACCGGGTACGCTTACATATTAATGCCCCTTTAAGTGAAACAGGTATTAATGTGCAAAACTTTCACCTGCAGCTAATTGGATCAGTAGTATGAACTAAAAACAAGTACAGGAGATTAAACGGTAAAGGTTGGTCTCTGATTCGTCTCAATTTTTTCCGTATTTACTCACATTTCTAAATAAATTTCTTTCATAATATATTAAGTTATTAGCAAGTTGATTAAATTACACAATCACAACTGAACCACATCATTATCCCTTTGACTTGCACGACAGTTTCACCTCGGGACTGTTTAATAAATCATATTTAGCACTCTCCTTCTTTCCAGTGTTTAACTGGGATTGTGCTGCATTCCTCCAGAGCTGGAACCTTTCTGCCGCCGTCTTATCTTTAAAGATTAAACGATCTGGCTGCCTTCGCTCTCAGAGGCAAACTGTTCCTGGTGAGTCTTAATGAGTTTCCTCCACCTACCGGCAGCTTTACAACTCCAGCTTCCTGCCTCCGCTGGATCAATCAGCGGAAACTGTTTCACTTTAACCTCAAATATTGACACGTCTGGATTTTGTCTGGTTTGTCTCATCGTTGAGCTGATTTGGAGATGGCGGACAAAGACATCTTAATCAGTTTGCTGGCAGCTATATTTGACAGAGGAGAGATTAGAAAAGTGGGACTCTCCATCCGTCTACAGGAAAAGCTAGCTTTCAATGTTTTAACAAAGAGAAAACCGGTGATGAATAAAAAAAGCTAAAAAAATAATAATAATAACAACAACAACAACAACAATAATAATAATAATAATAATAATAAATATGCCCACAGCAAAGAAAGTGAGTAGAAATGCTTTCCACTGCAGCTAAGAAATGCTTCAGACAATCACAGCAGTGAGTGCTGTTCAAAAATGCATGACGTCCAGGCAGAGCTTTTACTTTGGCGCAGCCTCTTTATGCATCTTTGCCTTGGCTCTGGACTGACAGGAGGAAATGTAGAGCACTTGTTTCAGTCCAAGCACTTTTCATCTCTGTAACCCATTTAGGTTTGCTTCCTGAACAGAAAACCATCAACTTTGTTTTAAAATTCATTCTTATTATTCTTTAGGTAATATATGGGAAAAATACTGCGTAAAACAGAAGATGAAAGGCCTCCAACTGGACCATTTGTTAAGAGGAGAGGAAGAAAAAGTGCTCAGAGGAGGAGCTTGGTCCTAGAAGGTGGAGCTATGCTCACCCACACGGCTGAATGGTTGACATGGAGATTAAAGGATTTCTCAAACATCCATGAAAGAATCAAGGCAACACTCCACATGTTTTTGATGAGGGAATAACATCATGACATGATGTTAAGCTCAAAAATGTTTATTTTATGTAATACTGACCCTTTAAAATATTAATAATAGTAGTAATAAAAAAGTTTTTGCTCTCATTTTAGTTTTGGAGTAAATAGTCACAAACATTGAGCCACTTTTACTCTGGCTAAATAATAACCGATTAATGATAAAACGTTAGAAACTGTGGACCTGTCTTGTCGTTTTCTGTTTTGTATTTATGATTTACAGATCAATTTTCTACAGATATCTGACAATTTAGTGGATTTCAATGAAATCTTCCATCTTTCATTTATTATTTAGCAGATAAAATAAAAATGCCACAAGAAGTTTCTCTTTAAATGCATTTTCTCTAAATATTTCATAAAGCTGCAATATTTAACTGCTCATTAGTGACTTTCCGCATGAACGAGCTAAGCCACATGTGATTTTAAATTAACTTTTTATTTAATGGAGACACAGCAACTGTGAAATTGTGTTTTATTGATATTAGTAGAACATAGACAAAGAATTGCACACATTTGTAATGGAAATGCATCTATTTATAAAATATAATCCAGTGTTTTTATGACTTCACCCTTTTGGATGACTTGTATGCGCGCACGTGTGTGTGTGTGTGTGTGTGTGTGTGTGCGCGTGCGTGCGTGCGTGCGTGCCTGTGTGTATATAACTTACCAAACCAAGCCTGCTGGTCTCCTTGAACCTCTATAGCCAGTCCAAAGTCAGCCAGCTTCACAGCTGCGTTCTTACACTTGCTGGCCAGCAGCAGGTTCTCAGGCTGCAGGCGTAACAAACACCACAGACAAACAGTCACATCAGCTCTGCACCATGGAGCAGAACGTTGGCTTTGCTAGCAGAGCAAGGCTGGGATCTGAGCAAAGCAGTCCGCTTTGACCAATGACCGGGTCAGGAAGGAAAAACTCCCTGAAGAAATCAACAACCTAAAGAAATCAGCGTGGTTTGATGGCGAATGGGCGGTACTTTTCCACATTCTGTCACCATAGCCACAATGTTTAGTGTGAACTTCAGCATTTCAGCATTTACAGCAACCCACTGCCTTCAGAAGCCACCTCCTATTTATTTTTTATTTTTAGAAATGGTAATGTAATAAATAGCGCATTATGTAAAGTGATAAACTATCACAAGGCATTGTGTTGATCCTAATCATTGTACTTCTAATAACAGTCATGGTGTAGAACCCATATATGAATTTAAATTTAAGTTTTGGTGAATAAACGCCAGACTTTTGATCATTTAGTCGCCTTTTCAGACTCACAGCCTGAACCCTGGGCTCTCAGGCCCAGGGTTCAGGCGATTCAAAATGCATTCAGGGGTTTTCTTACATTATGTGTCGATTATTGCATGATGCAGGTTCAGTGATGTTACATTTTAAAACCCTGCTTCATTACATTGTTACATAATGCAGCGGTACATCGGTGTGTCTTTTGTTATGTTTCTGTGTATTTTAGTCTTTCTTTGTGACTTTCTCTCTCTTTGGTCTCTGGTTTTATACCAAAACATGAACTATTTATGTCCTTCGTGTCTATAGAAAACCTCCATGTTTGTTTTGCAGGTCTGTTCTTTTCATTTCTTCCAGTGTGTAAAACCTGATTCAAAATTGTAAATATTTTCAGTTATATAATTAAAGACAACACATTAAAAAAAAAAACTATCCTAGTCTGACCCTTGCGCCCCCAAACTCCTGCCCCTTATTGTTTTCATGGCATTAAAGGAAGCTGGGTGATTCCAGCATGTGAGGTCTAATAACAGCTGTGGATGCTGCAGACTGACAGATGGAGTTTAAAGCTTTTTTGCTGTTTTCTTTAATTCAGGACGACAGAAGACAGCTTGTCTGTTTGAGGTCGTGGTGTCTGTGCTGTTCTGATGCGGAGTTAATGATGAGGCAGAGGAAAGACACACTGACTGATCTGATGAGTTAAACAGTAATCTGCCTAAAGAGGAGCAGCTAGCTGTGTGTTTACCTCCAGCTGGAGCACGGACACCACGTCACCTGCTGCTGGCTGATCTCAACACTTAAGACAAAAACATTCATTCTTTCCTCTTCAGTCAGCTGCCAGCCAGTCTGCAGTTCACTGAGAAGGTTTCTGTTTAAAGGAAGTTGCTCCTTTCTACTCTCACCCTGTGCTTCCTCTGTAGCGTCGAAGCTAAATTTTCATGCAAACTTTTGGTTTTATTGGAAAATGTTTTAATTTCTGGAATCTGACTATATATGACAATACACCACCAAACACCTCAGTGGAAATCAGAAGCACCTGTTTGGGATTGTAAAGTTACACAACTACAGTGAGCTTTTAAATCTCTACATATGGTGCTGGTTTATTAAGTCTCCATTCTCTTTCTTCTGACCTCCTGCTCTTAATCAAATCACCAAATAAATCTTCACCTTATGAACTCACACTGGTGCTTTGCTCTCACTATTTTTGCTGTTCTGTTTATTTGTCACCACTGTTCTGCAAACTTTGGCTGCGTCTTTGGTTGCTCAGGTTAACTCAGGATTCAGATGTTGCCAATAATAATTCAGTTTCCACTATTGATCACAATAAATCTATTTTTATAATACATAATTCTTATTCCTTTCTGCAATCTTTCTGCAATCTAGTCCTTCTGATAACTGATCATGAGTTGTTACGATGTTACTATGGTAACATGATGGAGCTCATCGAGCAGAGTTTGTAAAACGAGAACTTTCACGAATCAAAGACACACCGTTCCTTCCCTGTCTTTGACGTTTACATTTCCATGTAAAACACGTTTGGTCCTCCAGCTGGGGTTGTTTTGACACGCATTAAAAATAAATGTGACATCAGCGTTTACAACCCACTGCCAATTTGATTATTAAATGAATATTTTTTTTATTATCAGGTTGCTCAGTAAACTTTAGGACTAACTTGATAAAAACTTGTTGACAAATTTCCTCCCATGTCCAACAGTGATGTTATAGTTTACTGACACACCCTTAATTACAGCTCTGTGTTGTTATGGTAACATGACATTTCCATTCGCTTGTCCTCTGCTGGGTAAAAAAAACAACAAAACATGTCATTAAAAATGAACGATGTCTTTCAAAACAGTCTGTTTGGTAGGAAACATGCAATCCAATGAAGAGCATCCACAATAACTCAGATTGTTGGCAACATCTGTATTTTCTGTATTTTCATGCATGCGGGCCCAGAGACGGGAGCAGACATGCTGACTGTTGGACACGTTCACTACACTTACCACGTCTCAACATCCAGCACCAGTCAGACAAGGTGGAGAAGGAAGGACGAAGGAAGAGAGTCTGCAAAGTTTCAGCCCAGCTCAGTTAGCAGGTGACTGCTATCTGAAATATCAGCATCCATCACCAACTGGCACAGATTTCTGGTTTAACAACAGATTTAGTTGTGTTTTATTTTGGATTTTTAAAATGTCTTCCAGTTCCAGCATGGAGTGTTAGTCTGTACAAAATTAAAGTTCATTACTCTTGCACTATTACGGCATTTTCAATATATTAGTTGAAAACTGCATCAAAATGAGGCAGCTTTGATGCAGTAATTATTGCGATTATTGTTTATCGCAATAATTTCTGGGACAGTTTATCATCCAGCAAACTTTGCTATCGCGACAGGCCTGGTCACCAGTATAAATAACTTTTCTTCAGCTGAATGAAGTTAGAAAAGGCACAGACGCTCTTCCTTTGTTCAACAACTGACTCGCTTGTCCTGAACTGAAAACAGTAGTTCATAGTTCACATCTCCTTTTTTTTCTGATTTCAAAATTAAACAGCACAGACACACACACACACACACACACACACGCACATACACACACACACCCCTGCAGGTGACTCACCTTGAGGTCTCTGTGTACCACCCCCATCTGATGGCAGTGGAGCACGGCCTCCAGGATCTGCTGGATGCAATGACTGCATGCAAACAGCAGGGGGAGCAGGTTAGTCCAAACACACTCAGGCCCATCTCATCTCGGTCACATTCATGCAGAGGCTCCAGCCAGCCACCAAGTTCCCCCAACAACACACATATACGTATTTGCACTGAGAAGGATCACTCTCAACACACACATATACACACACAACCTGCCTGTGTGAAAAAACTCAGACAGGCGACACACAGTGAGACGCCGCTCTGCGTAGGAGACCCTCACTCTAACCTGCGTTTTTCACAGTAATTTATTCACAAACAGCCGCAACGCCGCATTTGACTTCCAAGTTTCAAATCTCTGCTTTTTGAAAATCCCTACCTATGCACCCTCTTTCTTTTCTTCTCTCTCTCTCTCTCTCTCTCTCCCTCTCTCTCTCTCTCACACACACACACTGTCTCACACATACTCACTCTCTTTTGGTCTGGGGCTCAGCAGGCCCTGTTCCCAGGACCGACAAGAACTGATCATTTGGGTTTAAAGTAGTGCAACAAGAATCCCAAAAGCAAAAAAAAAAAAAAAAAAACCCTGTCTGCAGACGCACCCAGGGGAAGACAGACAGACAGACAGACAGACAGCAGGCACAGGCAGATTGTTTTAAAATCACAGGCATGTTCCAAAGACACGAGCATGTAAATGCAGGGACACGATACGACACAATGAGACACACACACACCTTGAGGTCCCTGTGCACTATGTCATGTTGGTGGGTGTAAGACACACTGTCTAGAATCTGATGGATACAGTGACTGCGGAGACAAAACGACAGGGTGAGCAGCAGGTAAAAGAGACGACAAGGAGAAGGACAGGGTGGGAGGGGGACGGGATTGGAGAAGGGGGTCTTCAAGAAAGAAAAACTGACACAGTAACACACAGATTACACTCCACAGGGATTTAAGCCTCCAGCTCTCGGCTCTTGCAAAGTTTTCAACAAAATATAGATAGGCTTTTGCGGCTGGACTCTGCATTCTGTTGACTGGACAGAGATTTCATTTGTGTTTACATAAATGCTTTTTGGTTCACATTGAAATATGTGTACAATTAAGGAAATAAGAATACTTTTTTTCTTGTTTTATGCTGACACACAAAATGGTGTTTGACATTCCAACTGGTACGACAACGCAAAAGAGAAAATTATGGTCTATTTCAGGTCATGGTTTGTTACTGTCATGTCCAGCACTGCAGAATTTGTTCCGATTCCCAAAAGTGATGAGATGTGCCGAGCACAGATAAAATACTGATCATTTAGTTGTATGACTATCAAAATAAATGCATATGGCCCTAATACCGCCCCAAACATCATTGCCATCATACATGTACCAGCTTGTAAATAGCACTAATTGTTCATGCTCAACTTTGTGTCACAGAACCTCCTGACAAGAATAAATATCAAAGATTTTCTTGGATTTAAGTGAACAGAATATATAATTTTGTCATTTGGGTGGACTGAGACCTCAGCAGAATGCAGATGGAACACAGGAAAGAATTTCAGTGAGAAACTTTGGGCAGGAATACAGGCAAGTTCTTAACGCTCCCACACACAAACATCCAGACTTGCATACACTGACACTTATACAGTTAACATAGAATGAAGGAAACAACATGGGTGACACATGGGAAGATCATGAAATGCAGAAATAATGCCCTTTGAAAGAAAGTAACCAGTAATCTTCATCTGTTTGCATCAAGATTCTGCTGACTGACCAGTTTATATTTATGATGTTCTGTTGCAATAACTTTATAATAGTTCTAGTTAGAAGCTTGTGTCCACTCAACCTCAAGAGTTGGATGGATGAGCTTGGAAAGCACTACAGATTCCAGGATCATTCATTCATGCTAGTGATACAAGTGCATTGCATTTAGGGTATTCCACTGAGTTTGGATATGATTTTTATGATGTCTTGGTGTATTATCTGCAGTACACAGGATTCTGCACTTGTACTGTATGGAATAGCAAAGAGTACTCCAGGCATAGTCTGTGCCCCCTGAGCTCAGGTATTGATCTAATATGATAAAATACCAATTAGACACTATAGTGTACTTCATGCAGACAGTGCAGATAGTAGAACAGAGCTTTTCCTTCACAAAATTCCTGAGGAGAACATGGGAATAGGATTGTCAGGTCTTCATGTCTTCCATGGACCTGAAGAAGGTTCATGATTGTAATCCTTGAGGTATCTTGTGAGGGTTGCTGCGAAGCCTGCTTCCTGCCTGGTTTTCAAAGGGCTTCCCTATCCTTTTATAATAAAAGCTATAGTAAAAGCTGTGTCCACATCCTCAGCATGAAGTTGAGTTTGTTCCCACCGCAGGATGGACTAATTCTGTCAGGGTTGCCTCTTTATCACTGACCCTTTTTTGTGGTATTCATGGACTGGCCTCAAAGCGTACCTATGAATACAAGGGTGTCTTGTTTGGGAATTTTAGGATCTCATCTTTGCCTTTTGAAGATCTTATGATCCTGTTGGCCTTAAAAGCCATGATCCTCAGAGCATACTGGAGGGTTCACACACAAATGTAAAATTGCTGGACGGGATAAGAGTCAACTTCTTTGAGTTTGAAGATTCATAATTGGAGGGCAGTTTAGAACTAAACCCTTTGGTTTGGGGGTCAGTTTCTGCTTCAGGATTTGGAGTTTTGTTCAACAAGACAAGTGAGTAGAGGATGGGGTGTGAGATAGCTGGACAGACCATGGCCTCTTCTGAAGAAGTGAGGATACTTCCTGGGTCTGTCTTTGTAAAAAAAACAAAAGCTCAGACAGAAAGTGAAGCTCTTGATGTACTGGTCCGTCTGCGCTGTCAGCCCTACTTATTGTCCTGATAAATGGATAATGACCGAAAGATACAATCTCGGAAACAAGCTACTGAAATGAGCTTCTTCTGTAGGATGGCAATGATTCAGTCTTACTGATGGAATGAGACGCTCCTGCTCCTCTGTACTGAGAGGAGTCAGTCAGTGTCTGATGCCACTGGGGCACCTTCCTCTAGAGCAGGGGTGTCAAACTCCAGTCCTGGAGGGTCACTGCCCTGCAACTTTTAGATGTGCCTCTGCTGCACCACACCTGAATAGAATAATTAGGTCTTTAGCAGGACTCTGGAGAACTGATCTACACATGGAGGAGGTAATGAAGCCATTGCATTCCAGTGTTTTGTACCTGTGGCACATCTAAAAACTGCAGGACAGCAGGTGTTGAGGACTGGAGTTTGACGCCTGTGCTCTAGAGGTATTCTTGACAGATGCATTCCATTGGGTGAAGACACTGGGGCAGACCTAGAACTTTGTAGTCTGCAAGTTCTACTTGCAATACTTTATTGTCTTAACCCAGCTGACTGACTAGTCTTGAACTTGCAAGACTCTTGAAAGTTCAACTTCTAGTGATTTACGTAGACCTAAATCACTCAAACTGATTTAGGTCTACCTCCTGAATGGCTACAGTATGAGCATATTCCATATTACATGTAAAGGGTGTTCCTTCTTCTATTCCTTCCGAAATAAAGTGAGGCTGAGGTCAGTGTTTCCTTATCCTTGTGACCTGAAGGCAACTAATGGATGGCTGAAGGGAACATTTTGTGTCGCTGCTGTAACTCTGGATCCTGACTGTACACGGATGCTCCTGCTGTTAGAATATTTGATTCAGGGTAAAGTATGATCTGTAAATTTAAAACCAGCAAAGTCACTCTAAGAATGACATTACCTTTCAATAAATGTGCTTTTCCATTAGAATAAACAAAAACGAGTCAGAAAATGTGGCAACAGGTGCGAGGAGTGACAAGAAGGCGAAATATGACATATATTTATGGGGTTTTGAGAATAAAGCAGCTAAAATCTCTCATTATCCCTGCTTCTCTGTTCCTTTCAATACTCCTGTCCCCTTCTATTCTTCTTTCTCGCCTCCACAAACCGCCTCCTCGCTCAAATTGATTTAGGTCTACCTCCTGAGGGGCTACAGTGTGGGCGTGTGTGCACTTTTTGTTTTTTTGTTTCGTATGTGTGTGTGTTGTTCTCTCTGTAAATGCTGACTCTGGGTGGGGGAAAGCTCCCTTCGACCTCCATTTGCAGTTGGGCTCACGTAAAAAAATAAAAATAAAAAACTGTGCAGTGGTGGGATCCATCAGAGATCAAAATGCGCAAAAACAGGAGAGGGAGACGTCTACGCGCAATGTGTCAAACATTTTCTGCCTAAACGAGAGGAGAGCAAACTCTCTGGGCTGCTGGAGGACTGCAGAGGCTGGAGGAGCGACACATGGAGGGGAAGGATGCAGAGGAGAGGGAGCGGAGGTGTGTGGGTTTGTTACCTGGCGTCTGCTTCGCTGTAGTACTCCCTAGCCACGATGTCCTCAAACAGCTCCCCTCCTGTCACCCTGAGAGACGGAAGGGATGGAGTTTGAAATTACACACTTCTGCTTTATTCACACACACACACACACGCATCCACGCACACACACACGCACACACACACAGGAATAGGAGGGGGATGTCCTCATTAGGGGGAAACCCCGGGTGCAGGATTCTCTCTGACAGTGTTGCCATGGAGACTAGCTCCAGTGCGGGGGAGTTGTGGCTGCGCGCATGTGTGTGTGTGTGTGTGTGTGTGTGTGTGTGTGTGTGTGTGTGTGTGTGTGTGTGTGTGTGTGTGTGTTAGAGTGTGTGTGGGAGCCGCAAGCAGTGAGGGGAGGGTGGGTGTGTGTGGTTATGTAATGTGAGAGGGGGGTAGAGCGAGGGAAGGGGGGGGTGAAGAGAGAAGGAGAAGGAATGCAGAGATGGGGATGTAAAGTAACGCATGGAGGTGATGCAGGGCTGAAATCAGTGCAGAGCAACGCAGGGAGCAGGTTTAGAGACTTACAGGTCAAAGATAAGGTAGTGGAAACCTTCCTCTGAGATGCTGTCATGGAGACGAACTGCAAGAGAGGCATAAAGATCATCCATAAACTGAAGCACACATCATGTCTGTCTTCTTTAGAAATTAGAGACACACCGATACGATATGAATATCTGTATCGGACCCGATACAAAAAAAAAAATCCGAGATCAGGTATCGGTGACAATGTTCCTGATCCACAAGGGCAGATCTGCCCAGTCTAATTCTATGCTTTGTACTCTGAGTGTTATGCTTTATTTATTTTACATTATATTTAAAATTCCTAATTGAAATTTCTGAACCATTTGAAAGGAGGTTTGTTACGGTTTCATTTTACACGTTTGACCAAGATAGCCCACCTATTGATTTTGTTAGATTCAGTTTCTTTATTATTTATTTTCCATTGGCTGTTCTACTCCTAATTGTTCTGATTGAACAGAGTTATCAAATACATTTGCAATTCAGAACATTTATGTCTGTGTTTAAAAAAATAAGCATTTTTCTGTATCGGTATCAGTTGATACTGAACCTCAGATATCGGTATTGAAAGTGAAAAACGTGGATCGATCCATCTCTGTTAGAAATCCTCTGTATTTACATCAAGTTGCTCTGTCAGTCGAAAAGCTGATGAATGTTTCTGAGATCAGGCTGAGACATTTCCTGTTTCCATCAAACGCCGATCTGCTGTGAGTTGTCGCAGGTTGACACATACAAAACCCAAATGTGTTGACTCTGTCACAACTACGCAATCGCGCTCGTTGCAGTCTGAAAACCCGACTCAAATGGAGACGGACAAACAATGTGCCTGCAGGATTTCTGAGCTGGATCCTCCCGAAAGTCTCACGTCAGCTTTCACTTGGCTTTGTGTTTCTTTAATAAACATGGACAGGGTGGAATCTGTTAGGTCATTTTATATAGACTAAAGATAGATTTAAAAAAAAGTACAACCCTAATTCTTTTTTTTTAATTAAATCCTGATACTCCAGATCAGGGATCTGCGGTCTTAAAATAAAACAGTCAAATAAAATTCACAAATGTCACACAACTTTTTGAAAAAATGACCACTTATCATTTTCTGCCATCATTTTTAAACAACCACCAATTTATTTCTATTTTTAGGATTTAAAACAAAGATAAACATAGCATTTAGCAAAAAGAGGATGGACTTTTTTTTGTCTTTGAAATGAAAATGGTTTAAAAAAACATTAAAAAGCACATACATTTCAACCTAATGACAATAAAAACATACCTAAAAACATATTACTGGTTCAACATAGACATTGCAGAAATAAACTGGAAAACTGTTAAAACCTTGCATTTGTTTTTAGCTGTTTTTTTTTTTTTGTTTGTTTTTTGTTTTTTTTGTTTTTTTTTTCATTTTTAGTCAAAACTATTGATCTTCATTGTGAAAGAGTCACTTGTTGCTTCTTTTTGGGCAGCGACAGTACAGGTAAAGGTACACTAAAGCACAGCTTAGGACCGGATCTTTGTCTTCTTCAAATGATTTTTTCCGTAAAGTTGCTCCTGTTCAATTAGGAGGCAACCTTGAGATAAGAAGCAGATATAGTTTGTCTTTTTATTTTACCTCAACACATTTAATGTTGGCATGAAATGTGATGTCTTATCAGGATTTGGAAAGGCTCACCGATGTTGGGGTGTTTGAGCAATCTGCAGATCCTGGCCTCTCTCTCCAGCTTCTGGTGGTCTGAAGGAAGAGAGCAGAACAGAAACGGTGGATGAGAAGCAAACAGCAGCCCAAGGTTTACTGCACCGAACCAATCCGGTTAAATGAAATGATGGCTTCAGGTAGTAAGCTTGGTATTAGTGCTGTTTATATTGTTGTAATTTTATGACTTTGTAGAGTGACTGCAGACTGCACAAGGACTTTTAATGTATGTTCATGATAATAGTTGGCTTTATTAAGTTACATGCTCGGCTTAAGCTAGATATGATATAAAGCATATTTTATTAATGTTTTTTTGCACATTGCCCCTGTTTTAAATCGACTAATAAACTAAACTAAGAAAGAAAACACAAGATGACTCAAACAGCTACAGACAATTGGACAGGGAATTGAATCAAGTTTTTATACATTATCCAAATTTTATGATTACATTCATGTTTATTAGTTCCTGAATGCAGCTGACTTCAGATGGAATTACAACTACACTGCAAAAACACAAACTTAGTTGGTCTATTTTCTAGTGAAAATATCTTAGAACACTTAAAATAAGACAAAACTAACTTACAAGTAACTTTTCAGCAGTATGAAGCAGCTTATCTAAGTCAATAATTCCTTAATATTGATGAAAATGTACAAGTTCCACTGTCAGATTCTGCCACTTATAACACAGGAAAAATGTCTTGATATAAGTGAAATAATCTACCAAAGGAACTAGTCATTTTTTAAGTAATACTAAGAAATTATTTACTTAAAACAAGCTTCTACTTCTTGATAAAAAGTTACATATAAGTTATCTTATTTTAAGCGTGCTAAGATATATGCACTACAAAGTAGACCAACAATACTTGGTAAAATTTCGTGTTTTTGCAGCCAAAAGAAGAAGAAAAAGAAGAAAACCTTTCAAAACAACACAGAAAAACAGGGAGATTTGAGTAACACTAGAAAGTAAAAAGTGTCAGAAATGAAATGAGGAAATAAAACAAGAACCAACATAACAGACAGAGCAGAACGGGGTCAGAAAGGACAAAAAGGGAACCAAGAAAACAGCAGAAGTAAAAACAGCCTAACACACAAAACAAAGAACAGGAAAGAAAGCGAAGGAAGACGAGGAAGCAGAAGAGGAAGAAGAATAAAACGAGAAAACAAGCAGAAAGAAGAGAAATAGAAAGATGGAAAAACAAATATAGGCAAAAGGTCAAAACGAGGCAGAGGTAAGGAGGAGAGAATCTTGAGGAGATGTGAGGTCGAGTTACCCCCAAAAATCTGTTTTTTACCCAAATGACAGCTGGTCCTGCCCTGCAGCTCCCACACACACACACACACACACACACACACACACACGAGCGCGCACATACACAGCTGTTTCAGCCACAAAATGAGAAGCAGTAAAGGACTTCATCCTCCCAGAGCAGAGGGCAGGACGGAGAGCAGCTGTCATGTCTTTAATAAAGGTGCCATGACTCAGCTCAGTCTCTGCTCTGAGTGTTAATAACACCACTGCTGCTATTTTCAGAAGTTCTCCGAGGCGCTCGTTCATTATTTGATGAGCATTATATGAGTGGGAGAAGAAAAAGCAGATGCTGCTTCATCACAGTTGGACTGACAGGGATGGAATTACATCTTAAAAATGAGGAAAGAGGAGAGAAATGTGGATAAAATCGAATACTGTTTGCCTTACATGCCATGCAGTCCTGTGAAAAATGTTTAGCGCTAACAGGTCTCTGCTGTTTTTTTTGGGGTGGGGCTGAGAGGCAGTTTGCTTTTGTTTGTCTCACTTAAATGTTCTGGATCGTCACATAATACAAAATATAGTTTTTGAAAGATTTAATTTCTTGGGGTGGGGAAAAGCGACCCGAACAAACCCTTATGTGAGAAAGTAATGGTCTTCTAAAGCTAATCACTGGTTGAGCTAACCTTGGCTAACGTCCAGCGTTACATTCAACTGGAAATATGGACATTTTGGCCAACTGTCCTTTTCATTTTCGTGCATGAACAATATGTTTAAGATCAGGCTGCATCATCTGAATCATATTTAAGTCTAGGCTTTGAATAGGCCACTCCAAATCCTTCCTTTTCTATTATCTCGGTACTTCAGCGGTAGACTTAGCTGGTGTGCACTTGAGCAAAATAAAGATAAAAAATATCTATTGACAGCACTTTAACTACTGTCGGCTTGCAGTTCGTTGTAAAAAAAAATATGGCCGTGGAGTTTACATAAAAACTATGTAAAATAACAACAGAAAAATATTGTAAAATGGAAAGTATATGTTTTGTTTAATTCACAGTAAACCTTTGTAAAATGTCAAACAAAACGTGTTGTTTTTACAGAAACAATATGTGAGTATAATCAATTGTATCTGTTAAAACGACAAATGGTGGTTAAAAAAAGTCATAACAAAACAATTCTGTTAATATAACATTCAAATACTGGAAAAACTAAGAAAACAATATTTTTTATTGTGTATTTTTCACTTCATAAACGTTTTCAACGTTTATGTAGAAAACTCGAATGCAAAATTAATATTTAATTTTTGTAAACTGAACTGATTGTTCATGTAATTCAGCTGCCATTTCAATCACTGTAAATTCGTTCACATTTTTTTTAAATAGAGTTATTTACTTAATATCTGTGATTTTCATAGGAAAACTCTGTTAACCATGGCCGTGAAAACGACTGTTGTTTTTTTTTCTTCTTCTTTTTTTAACAGCGTATGTACTTTAAAGCTTTTCATTTTAAAATGAAAAATGAAGCTGTTGTGTTTTCTGTGGAACAGAGGTGGAGGCTTTAACAAACAGGCGCTAGAATATGCTAATGTGGAGCTTTGAGGATCCAGGACACCGACTGACGAGACGCTGCTGCGTCTGCGCAGTCACCGCGTGACTTTTCTTTTCCTCACCTCTGGCAGAGAGCTTTTTGGTGTTGATGATCTTGGCGGCGTATTCTTGGCCTGTGCAGAGTTTGACACAGCGTCGTACCACCGAGAAGGCCCCCCTGGGAGACAAGAGACAGCACAAAGGAAGGAAGAGACGGGTCAGCCACCGCTACAGCTTTGTCAGCATAGAAACGGCCGTCTCAGCGGTCAGACGCTGACCTGCTGGGCCCAGGGGCGACGTCAACAGGAAGCCCGTGAAGGATGTCAACACGCCCTTATCCAGGAGTCCAGTCCTAATCTGTCCCTCGGTTTACTGGGCCCATCCAGATTTTAACTAAAGTCGCTAGCTGTCACTTTTCTGACACTCACAAGTTCCCTCTTGTTCTCACTCTCTCCCTCTGCCCAGACACGTTTCGCTCCAAAAGCAGAGAAGAGCGATTTTCACAACCCTGCCACTTGTGATTGATTTGTTGTAACTCTTTTCTTTTTTGGGAAAGTAGTTTAAAAGTCTGCTTGAACTGTATTGTGTGCTGCTTCTTCCAAAGTACCAAAGTGAAAAGGTGTGCGTCCCCAGCTAGCATTGAATGTTCGGAGGACGTCTGTGAACGTTGTCTTGAGCGTCCGCGGATTACGTTTGGACGACGTCCAAAAAAAACTCCAAAAGACGTCCAGAGGACTTTCTATTGAACGTCTGCCGGATGTTCGAGAGGACGTTCCGAACTAAAAACTGACCACTATCAGACTTTCGGCGAACTTTCAGTTAAATGTCCGCTGAAAGTCCGCTGACAACTTTGTAACTGCAATTCAACCTGGAAAGACTCATACACACACACACACACACACACACACACACACACACACACACACACACCTACACACACAAACAGAGAGTGTTATTAGAAAGCTTAATTGACAAATGAAAGTCTTTGGCGCTCGGACCCAGGAGGAAGACAATGCGCTGGTAACCGCTGTCAAAGAGAATGAGCCGCTGTGTATGAAAATTACAAACGTCTCCCCCTCTTGGGCCCGGAAACTGGTGGTGGAGAGGATGGTGAAGACTGAATGGACATCGAAAAAACCACACCTGAAGGTGGAGGAAGGTTGAAGCTCAGCCAATGAGCAGAAGCAGATGAACAGCTGGGCCTTATCAAAGGATAATGATTGGAGGATGAGACCATCACTGATAGGTTGGAATCAAGGCACATGATGACATCTTTGGTTGGGCAGGTGAGATGAATAGAGTCTTCCATTTGAATTTACGCCTAGGCTTCATAACTCCAATGGTTAGACAAGCACTAAGTAATGACATTTGTTTTAGACTGATCAGAGAAAGATCCATCATATAACCCAACCAAATTCACCACAGAGTCAAGATTTCTCAAGATTCAGACATCAAAAATGGATTTATTTGTCTCCTTTAGATCACGCAAACCTCCTAATCCCTTCCAAATGTCCATGTTGAACTTTAGGTCAACTCAACTTTCCAGGGGGTGTCCTGATGTCAAAATGTGTCTGAATGTCTGACAATATGTGTCCAAGTATTATGCAAAATATCCAATTCACAAACGATATTCAAAGATTTGAATATCATTACCATCCTAAAATAACAGCCTATGTCATTTTTTAGGAATATGATGATGTTATTCACAGCCTTAAATATAAACTAAAGTGTGACCCACGTACAGTATGGAGGCCTCTGGCTGTCATGGGTTCGAGTCCAGGACCGATGACCTTTACCGCACATCTTCTCCCTCTATTCCTGCTAAAAAATAAAAGCCCAACAAAATCTAAAAACAACAGACTGCAGTAAAACCTTGAATGTAAAGCTGGCTTATTTCTATAAAAGTGTTTAATTTTTTTGAAAAAACATTAATGTCAAAAACAGTTCAGATTGTTGACCTTTCTCTCATCCCTTCCAGTTCTGTGCTGCATCTGCTGCTTCAACAGAAGCGGATCACAACAATAACCCATAAACTACGAGTTACAGAATACTTTAGTTGGTTTCTGTTCATTTATGTCACTATTTCATGACTATACTCACACTGAAAAACAACCTGATACGCCATGGCTTCCATCCATTCATCCGTTCATAGACAATGGATGAATGGATGATCACTACTTGATTACATGAACTAGAAGCAGTAAGAACTTCAACCACTAAAAGTTCACAAGTCCGGCCTTTAATATGCATTTTATTTTTTAAACTGTGTTTCTCAACGAGAAACGGAGACTACTAAAAGTGGAACAAACTGAAACAGTTCAAATCCACATTATTAAATCTGTTTTTTCTTAAGCTGTCACATAGCAGTCACATTTTTTTGCTTAGCAAGCCGAGAAAAGTGCTGAAAAGGAGGAAATTGCTCCAAGCTTTTGATCTCCTCAACAGAATCCTGACCTCATTCATTTTACACTTTCCTGCTTCAGATAATATGAGGAATCCTGTTCATCTTTAAATCCACCCGTTTCGCTTCACTTCAAAAGTCGGCTGCTGCTGCTAGCTGAACTACATCTCCTGAATAATATCCAGCTTTGATGAATTAAATCCTCTCTGGGTTAATCAAAGTATAACGTGATTATGGAGAAGGAAAAAATGTTGCATTCAGAGGTTTAACTCGCACTGCAGAATTTAATTCCTGTTCACTTTAGCCAGTTGGCTAACTAGCTCCTTTGTTAGCATGTAGCTACAGTATGATACCTGATCCTTCTGAAGCTCCAGAAGAACATCAACACAGAGCACATGCTACACGGCTCATGTAAGTAGATGATATGTGATGTCCTGATGTAGTTCTTCAGTAATACTAGAAACAATTTTGGTTATGTTTTAATATTTAATGACGGTCTGCTGGAAAATCAGGAAATGCAAAACCTCGTGTAACCCAAAAGTTTTTTTTCTTCCATTTTACAACTTGTTCCACCTTTACTGTGACTTTTCATCTTTTCAACTGAAAAACAGTTAAATGTTTAACAGACAGACCAATCTGTTTAAAATAACATAAAACCACATATAAATTAAGAAATCTTTAACAACATGACTCCACAGAGTGCAAACACTTCCACTAATACTGAAGCACCAATTTATGCATTAATAAGGGTGTAAAGATCTGATGTTACTCAGAATTCCACATTGGACTTGGTGATATTTGTAAAAAAAATTTGCAAAGGAAATATTTAATCCGCAGGCAACACCCCCATAGATTTTCCCTCAGATTTAGGTTGAAGCCTTCCCCAAAACTTGAATTTTCTACTGGTAAAGTTGATCTTTTAAAGATTCTAAGTATGCTTGGGCTCACAGTGAGATTAAAAATAAAATCTCTCCTCATTTTGAGGCTTTATAGCAGACATTTGCAGGGTTTTCAGCCCAGTCTGGCTGGTTTTTAGAGATGTTTATGTTTACATCCACCTGAACAGAAAGTCTGGCTCCATCTGAAGGAACCTCTCCAGAGCCTGGTGGGGTCAGACTGCTCTGTCTGCGATGCCCAAACCGAACACAGTGGTTTAGACTTTGATTTCCGCATAGTGAGTATGCAGTACTCACCGTGCGTTACATTTATAGCCCCTACAATCATTTGAATCAACATAGTCAGCTACTTTAGGAAGTTGGGAGATTTTAGCCACACTGTAAAAAATATACATTAAATTACTGTAAAGTTTATAGTAAATTACTGCCAGCAGGTTACTGTAATCTGTAATTTAATTACAGTTTGTACTGTGATGTTATTACATGTATAATGAAACTCTAACAATTTTACTGTGATTTGATCCATTTTTTCTGTAATCGAATTGCAATAAAATTTATTTTATTTTAGTTTAAGAAGACTTCCTCAAATTTCACGTCGACAGTAAAAGAAATGCCTTTGACTTTTGCTAGCTGTTGAAAGTTAAAACGTCAATATGCAACAATTGACTTACCAATAACTGTCAGTCATTTTTTTCTAAGTTCAGGAAATAAGAAAACTATACATATTAAAACACGTTTTTTATTTTGTCAATTGTCTATTGTCAAGTCTGGGTGGTTTTTGTTGGGTTATTTATTTATTGATTGATTTACCTATTTATTATCTGTAAGATAATTCAAAAGGCTTTGCACTCTGCAATATTTTTGGAACATCTGAATTGTGTTTTGAATTCATTCTCTGTGTTTGATAACAGATGGAAAACTGAACGCAGGAACTGAATCAAAAAAAGATTCAGGCTGTGAACTTTTTCTGCATTAACTTTAAATAGAATCGAATGTAAATCAAAGTTCAGATTCGATAAGTTGATTGAACAAATGTTAACGTTACATCATCGCAGCCGCCTGTGACACATCTACTGTATATTAATAATCCCACTTTGAAGTGAGGTATGGATATTTTACATCTGCTAAAAGTAGTATCTAAGCAACAGCAGCAAGCCTCACGGTCACAATGTGTCTGATGTATGATGACCAAAATAACTTCAGTGACATCCGGAGCTCCGTTCTGGGGGGATAAGCATCGCTCTGAAGCTCTCAGGATCGCCTTTGTTCTCCGAATCCTGCAGAGACCGACGGAAATAACCACCTCTGTCATCCTGAGCTAATTTTATCCCACCTCAGCATTGTTACGCAATGAGACACTCACACTTCCCCCCAGAAGCCCATCTCTCTCTCTCTCCAGCACCGCATACATTATGAGGAGACTGGGTGAGTAAGCACGACACACACTGGCTTCCCACCGCGGCGTGGAAAACAGGCAGCAGAGCCTCTGCGTGGCGGGTTTTCCACAGGCCAGGTGGGAGGCAGCAGGAGGGCCCAGCTCTGGGGCCAAAACCCTGGATTAGTTCATCTCCGAGCTGGTACCTGATTTCTACACAGCCACAAAACCCTCCCTAAAGGCATAGCGGATGGTTAATGTTGTATTTCAAAATGTTAAAAAAAAAATTTATAATAATAATAACCTCAGCTATGTTTGGGAAGCTTTCCAGGAACAAATATGACTGATGTGTGGTGGTAGAAGAAGTGATCCAGTCTGACCTGTTTCGGTGCTTCAGCTATAAATCTGCTCTCAGGCTCCACTCAGATGAAAAAAAAAAAAAAAAGGAAAGAAGGAGTGAAATTCCGCCAAAAAAGTCTCAGGAATTTTTTATATAGATTAAAAGAAATAACTCTGAAATTTCTGAGTTTGAAAAGTCAAACGTTTGACAGAAAAATCTCAGAAATTTTCTAGAATTTTTTTTCTTTTTTTTTAATTTTCTGAGTTTCAAACGTCATAAATTTCCGAGTTTCTTTCTTTCTTTCGGCAGAATTTTTAAAAGTGTGTGTGTGATTATTAATAGGTGACACATCTCATTATCAAATGTGAAGCCATATGATGACAGGACTAAATTATACATCTGAAGCATTTCTGACATGTTGCCTCTGTGTTTGTGCATTTTGCAGATGGTGCAGAAACAACTAAATAAAAGACTTCAAACATTCTAGAGAAATTTATGTTTTCCTAAAATGGTTTTCAAAATTCTTGGGTTTTTTTGTTTTTGTTTTTTTGCATCAACTTGTTGTAATGGGTTGTTATCACCACAAGGTGGCAGTAAAAGCTTATAACTTTAATTCAAAATACACCGTAAAATAACGGCCTTTTAACGCCGATAAACAGTAAAATTGTCACAGTAAAAAATCATAAGCTATAAAACAAAAACTATTACTTTAATATGAAGTTGTGAATAAATTAATCTGTGAAAACAGCGATTTGCACATCTTACATTCATGCTTTCATTTCATTGGTTGTTTTCATTTTCATTTTAGGAAAAAATATATTTTCCTTGAGTTAAAAAAAATTACAATAAAACACTGACTACAGCATTATTTTTTTGCCATCTAACCATAGGAGAAAAACATTTCTCTCCAGTGCGACATGTGGTGGTGGCAGCATGATTCTGTGGGGATGTTTTCCTTCAGCAGGTCCAGGAAATCCAGCTGACGGGAAAACAGACAGACAATACACAGCAAGCCCCATAAAGCTCCTGTTTAGATCCAGGCATGGCCCAGCCAGAGCTAAGTCCAACTTACAGACACCCTCTAGTCTGACAGAGCCTGAGCTATTTCAGAAAGTAGAATGAATAAACATGTCAGTTTCTTAATGTACAACTCTCATAGAGTCACACTGCCAAAATATTGCTGAGTATTGACTCAGAGGGTTGGAACACAAATGCACACTACACTTTTCAGATTTTCATTTTTTATTTTTGGTTAAAAAAAATAAATAAATAAATAATAATAATAATAATAAGTAAATAAATAAAAAAGTGAAAAAGTAATTTATTTCCTCCCATCTCACAATTACGCTCAGTGTAGGCAGGGGAATTTGTCATATATCGTTCATCATTTATCGTGATAAATTTCACATTCGCTGTTGTCATTATAAATTACAATTAATGATGTTTAAAATCCAGCAGAAACTGTCATTGTTGAAATTACCCATTTTACTATTTTCTCCAGTTTCTCATATAATAGCTGTGCCATGCAGTCACCTAAAAGTAACAATAAATAGTTACTTTTATCATTATCGCAATAGAACCGCAAAAACACATTGCGATAAAACTTCCGAGTCTGCCATTTGAAATCCAGATATATAATACATTTGGAGTTTGGGACTGGAATATGACAAAAAGAGGAAAAGTTTGGAGTCAAAGAAAAAAAAGTCAAGTCCCAGAGAGAGATTCACCGTGTCAGAGAGGGAGTCCTTAATAACAAGCAAAGTGGCAACGAGGATCTGCAGTCAGCAGGAGCAGCTGCAGCCTCTCCAGCAGATCCTTTTGTTTCAAACTTATCTTTCCTCGTGTGACTGTACACAGCCACCATAAACAAAAAACTGCTAAACTAATCATTTAGGGTTTAATAAAACAGAGATCTCAACTTCCTTCCTTCTCTCTGTGTGTTTTTTTTCCTGCTGTGGAATAAATGTTCCTGTGAGGCAGACATTGCAGAGAGATCCTCTCTACCCACGCACAGCCTGACAGAGACACTGAGTCCACTTCGCATCTGCCCACTGAGGCACCCATCGCCCTCTTCAGACTCTCTCGTTTTGTCTGCAGACACATGTTACAAAAATCAAATGAATGAATAAATAAAATAAAACCACAAGGCACACCTCATTAGACTCCCAGCAGATCATTACAGTAGCAGCATCGCTCTTTGACTTCCAACACATGAAGCTTTTTTCCCCCTCTATATCAGGCCTGTTTGTCCCTAATTAGCCTCTGGGCATGGGGAGCTGAAGAGGAAGAGGAGGAGGAGGAAGAGGGGATGCCCAGGAGTGATTCTTGCTTCCTCGGGCACATTTGATGACTCTCCTTGAATTTCTTCTGCGTTTTAAAGAAGTCCAAAGGCAAAAAAAAATAAAAATTAGGAGCTTTTTAGAACATTCTGGAGCCATCCCTGCAAATTAGCGGGAGGTGGAGGAGGTGGAGGGGGGATCTCCAGACCTCCATCCCTCACGCCGCGGCCAGGACAGGGTCATGCAGGCGGGCATGCAGGACACACACAACGACCCGAACGCGGACTTACTTGCCGAGCTCCTCGTAGAGCTGGTACTCATCTGTAAAGCGCGTACAAGTGGTGGTGGCCATGATGCCTTGCTCCTCGGACGGACTGGATGCGTATGTGTGTGTGAGTGTGTAAGTGTGTGTGTGTGTTTGTAAGTGTGAGTGTGAGGGAGGGGAGTCCCGAAATGCTCTGGCTGCGGACCTCTTTTTTGTTTTTTTGTGTGGGTGGGTGGAGGGGGCTTCAGTCTCCGCCCACCGCGGCGCTCCAGACGGCTGAGTGGTTGAGCTGCAGCCCGGTGCGCTCTCACGGTCCCCGGCTCTCTCCGCTCCGCAAAGGCGAGCAGCAGCGCGGACGCTTTAAATACCGGGAGGAGACGCTCACTACATGACGTGATCCTCCGGAGAGGGAGGAAAGAAAGTGAAAACACGAGGGGAAAGCGTGGAAACCACGGAGGAGGGAGAGGATGGGGGTGTTAGGAGCTGATCTGGTTAAATGTTTTATTTGTTTATCGTTACATTCACGATAATAAATCAGGGGCTGAATCCAGAACTCTCTAGATGATGGTGATTTCGCATCATTGCAGCGAGGCTGATGCAGGGGATCTATTTTTAGGTTTCAGCGAGGAAAACCCTCAGAGTTCACCAGAGAATCTTCAGATTCTCCAGGAACTTTCTGCTTCATTATGTCAGTTTGAAGAGGACAGACAGTGTTATGTTTGTTCCTGTCACATGGTGCAATTTTATAGCACAAACTGTTGTTGTTACATTCAGTTGTTATAAAAATGCTATTACAAAAATCACAAATTGGTATCTGTCCCTTTAACACATACCCAGCTTTAAGAAGCTCCTGCTCTTCAGCACCTGGATGAAGTTTCAAGTTGGCCTTCCCACTAAATTCAAATCTATTAGTGAAAGTTTACAGAGGTCATCAAATGTGGACAAACCCCTGGCCAAACATTTACAGAATCAAATACATTTGGTGCCAAATGTGACACAAAAATCTCCTGCTGCACAAACAAAAATGGATTTATATCAATTTCATTTGATTTTACGAATTAGCAGAGGGCTGATGTTTGGTAACTTCTGGAAACTTTATTAAAATCTTTTTTAAATTGAAAAATAAAAAGTCAAGATTTAAGGTTTTTTTTCGTATTTAACATGTTTTTATTCAACAAATCCTTTGAAAAGCACTAACCCAAACAATCATCCCATCAGGCCGTCCCTTTGCTGAAATGTCTGTCAGTGTAATGTTGTCGGCAGCTCTTTGTCTTTCTTTGACTTTTAAAATTAGACAGAAATTGATTAATTGCGACAGAAAAAACCTTTATCTCCATGACAATTTCCAACATCGGTTCCACTGATAAAAGCAGATATTTGCAGCAGGACTGGGTTGAATCTCCCGAAACGTTGGTTGAGACTTTAGCAGGAAACCTGTTGTACAGATGTTTACCAACAGGGGGCGCTGGTTCTACAAAATCAAACCAGAAAATAAAGAAATAGGCACAACGGATCTCAATAAATAATAACCAAACAAATAAAGTCGTTCACTCTGCCAAACATCAACCTGGTGTTTGGCATCAGGACACGTCTCTGTCATTATTCTCCTTCCACTCGTCTCATTCGATCCTCTATGTGCGCCGTCTGACCGTCCTGCAATGCGTCCTGTAGATAAAAGTGAGTCGGTTCGTCATTGGCCCGGTCTGAGCTACCTCTCAGAACTGCACGGCGCTGGGCGGGATGTCAAACATGGACGGGTCGAACTCCTGGCCCTTGAAAGGTGAGCCCTCTGCGTCCCAGCCTTTCTTCAGCATCTCATGCACTTTCTAGCAGCCAAAAGAGAAGCAGAAGACCTGATGAGTTAAAAATCACTTCATGATTTGGTTTTAAACAGAATTGAGGTCGAGGTCCGCTCTATCTGTTTAACCTCAGCGTTAATGTGTTTAGCTGCTTTTCAATGGACTATAAAATTGCATGAATCAAAAAAAAAGTTTGATTAAAAGTATTTGCACTAAGATGAGGTAAATCGAAATTGGTGCATTTTGCAAAACTACGATAGAAACATTTTTCCGACTATTTAAGTAATTAAAAATCCTGGCAGCGACAGATCAGATTTATTCATAACTCAGTCATGATGCTAGTAATCATCATATATCAGTCAATCAGAGGAGATGTCTGCGTCTTATTCAGGCTTTGGAGCGACAAACCCGCCCAGTTGGGAGAGTGTTGCATTTTTTGGAAATTGTAGACGATGATTTTACAGAGGAGTTATTGATTCGACATGTTAGAATGACACACAACATTTTTATGAACTGTGATGTTGAGAGCTCTGGTGGAGGGTTAGGCCATCATCCTCCTGCTACTTGCTGTCGTCTTGTTTGTCATTTTCGCCAGTAGTAACATCAGCCGTTGATCATGTGACTCACATGATGCAATTGTAGTTTTGTGAAATACATTTATTTTGATAACCAAAAAAAACCACCTCCTCCCATTGGAAATTTTTTTAAGGTTTTTTTTTTTTAAATTGGTGCGTTTCCATTAAGGAAATTTATTTTTGTAATTTCAATTTGCACAATGCAATGGTTAACGGAAACGCGGCTATTAGAACATGTGTTGATGTTCCTCACCATTTCGTGACTCTGTGGTTTCCCCTGCTGCTTCTGGTGATAGTCGAACGTCAGCCTGTCCAGAACGGCGTGCTCTTCCTCGTCGACTGTTGCCATGGAGCGCTCGCGGTTGATCTGGTTGATGTCGATTTCCTTTTCGCCTTTCAACACCGCGTTCCACCAGACCTCAGATGTCTTGTTGAGAGAAAGCTGCAGCGGGGTACACCTGCCGGTTAGCCTGACTCTGACGCGCAGTGGCGTCAGACTCTTGCGAACGCCGCACTCACCAGCACGCACTTCCCAGGCTCCAAACTCCACAGAGAGTCTTCGGTGTTGATCTTATGCGTGAACTCTCCTTCCATCAGCGTTCTCTCCTCCGGTCCGTCCCTCACGCTCACTCGCAGGCCGCCGCTCTGTAGGCCAACGCTGACCTGAAGGACGGCAGTGGGCAGCAGTTAGCGCCATGATGACGGAAGAGTCCAGTCATTTCAGGAGGTTGAATGAGCCCAGCTCACCTGTCTGCCCTTCACCACCGTCTTGGGGACGAACACGCGAACCTCCACGTCGGTGTAGTCCTGGGACCAGCTGTAGTTTTCACGCACGGCTCCATTGTAACTGTCCGGGTTGGACTGGAACTCATTCTGAGGTCTGAAACAAAATAATGCACCTAAACATTTGATACAGCGCCCTCTTATTTAAGCTAAGATTGAACAATTACCTTTTGAACAAATTTTGTCTGCCTTCCTCAAAAGGCATTTTTATCTGTTATAGCATGTTGCTACCACTTGAGGGCAGCATAAGACAATTTAAGAAACTCAAGCTCTGCTAGGAGATTTAGCTTTAACATTTGGCCATGTTGTAGAAAATCAGATTACAAAACATATTCACCAGTCGCATTAGTAAATTATTATCTTTGTAATAATTATAGAAAAATAAATATTTTACCATTTGTGTAATTCTGTTGTGCAACTCTACATATTTTGTTGCATTGCCTGTCGGTTTTTCAAATGGCTTTTAAGTTCTTTGTGGGGCCATGGCATAGCAAAGTTTGGGAACACCAGAACACCGGAACATGGTGGGAACTCACCTGTCTTCTGCTGCTGCTGCTGCTGCTGTATGGCTAGCCGCTGCCTGATCCCCCTCACCTCCTGGTCCGCTGCTGGCAGCTTGCGATATCCCAGAATCTTCAGAAGCTGCAGGAGCAGAAACTTGGCCCGCGTCAGAGGAAGCGCTCTCAGTCCGCGATGGCTCCGCGCCGCTCTTCTCCTCCGTGGCCTGGCAGAGCTCAGAGGACACCTCCACCTCCTGGCCAGCAGGGGGAGCACGCGAGCTCTCCTCCCTCTTTCGCTGCTCGCTCAGCGTTCGCTCTCTGTCGTGTTCAGCCAGCTTCTCAAACAACCCGAACGTCTGGAGAAGATGAAAAATCAGAGCATATGGCCTTACATTACTAATGAGAATACCATTAAGTCTTTATATTTAATATTAATTCTGGCATTACTGGAACTGTAAAAAATAAATTCTCTAACAAAACACCATCAGAGCTAATTAAAATGACATATACGAGACCTTTATACATTATAAATTTTATATATATCATCAATTATAGGAGGAACAAAAGAAATTGTAAAGTACCATTTGCAATGCATGAGAAACTTAATGGAGCAAAAGTCAATAACAAACAAATGAATTAGGTTCACAGAAGAATAACAAATCTGGTTGTTACAACCAGGGTTGTTAGACAGATAAAGAAAAATTCACATTTTTGCTTTAAGGTGCCATATGTTATTCTGAGAGACTTTTTGTTGGTAGAGTCCTATGTACAGGAAAAAATAACATAAAACAATTTAATCTATCAAGGTGGAAATTTTCTTAAAATTTAGAGTCACTGAGAACAGCTCTGAAAAATACAGTCAGTGTTTACAGAAAATTGGAGCTGACTGTCCAGGAAAGACCCAATGTATTTAAAATTAGCCACAGTTGGCCATCGAGAGAAACTGGAACCACTTTCAGCTCTTGTTTACGTCATTTAATTAGCTCCTTAAGAAAATGAAAAGGTATGGTGTTTTGTAAGGGAATTTATCTTTTTCGGTTCCAGTAATGTCAGAATTAATATTAAATAATAAAGACTTAATGATATTCTGATTAGTAACATAATTATATTAGTTGTGTTACCACCCCCACACCACAAGAGGCAGTAGCACGCCCGAAAAGATGTGACTAAGGAGCAGATTTAGAAGTACACCAAAAGCTACAGAATTTGTTAAAAACTGTGAGCTGCGCTGAAGTAAATAAAAGAGAGAAATTCAAATACATGCTGAGAGTGAAAATCCTTCCTAAATATGAAGATGTATCACAGATTTCAAAAGAAAATAAAAACGGGAGACCGTGGAAAAGATAGGAAATAGCATCCCCTTCACTTCCGGAGTGCAATGGTTCCATTTCCAAATACAGTATGAGACTGACAGTGATCAGCTCCCGCCCCTTTCTGTTTGCGGCAAGTATGGCTGCAGCGAGGTCCTTCTCAAAATTTCAGGCAGACTACAATTCTAAAACAGCGCAGAAAATCGACTTCATCGTTCACTACTTCTCCTTCTATTCACTGATTGGCCAAGTAGAAATTCTACCGGAGAAATCCAGGTGAATTGGAGAAATTCCAAAATGTAAAGCGAGATTTGAACTGAAATTGGGTGGAACTGCAGCAGAAGAAAGATGTAAAATCACAAAGTGTAAAAAAATAATAATAATAATTCAAGTTCAAGGACTAACTCGGCCTGCAAGTACAGTTTAAATAAATAAACATTTACATGTAAACATTATTCATTAATGTTTATGTAATGTTTATTCCTATTAACTTGTCTAAAATGTGAATTATTTGCACGATTTTGCCAACATTTTAATAATCAATGCAACATTTTTTTTTAAATTACAGAATGTAATTTGGGTTTAAAGACGTAAAATTCAGATTAAATGACAGTTTTCCAGGTGGCTGTTGCCACGGCGCCTGTGTACCCCAACCAGCTAAACAGGTTGACAAATCTTCACCTTAAGCACCATCTTCTCCGCCACTCCTGGAGGGAAACCCATCCTGTCGTTAGGACCAGACAGGAGCCGGTAAAAGTCCGTCTTTCGGTACAAAAACCCAAAGTAGATCTGCAGAAAGTCCTGAATGTTCCCAACGTGCTGGAGGATCCCCAGCAGAGCGTTGTCATACATCTCTGTCATCTCCAGCGGCGACGCCATCCCACCGTCTAATGATTCCGTCTGTCAACAAACTTGAGGACTATTCAGTCCGACAGCCAAACACCGTCAGGACAGAGAAGTTTGAGAATAAGAAGGACGAGTTGAGCTTTCTTTACGAATGTTTTCCTCTTTCCAGAACAATACACCTTGTTCCGGTTATTGGGTTTCAAAATAAAAGTTCACTATGATCCATAAGCTGATAAAGTGATTGCTGTCAGGATGTGGAAACATATGCTAGACTGAAGACAACTGGGTCAGGGGTAGCTACAGCTGATACAGCTTTAAAAAGTTGTGTGAAAAGCAGCGAGTCTAATTTGTAGAGGTGGGCAGATCGATGCAAAATATTGAAAATATCAATACCAATCAGTATTAGTATATCTGATCGATAAGCGTGCTACGAACAATACTATACTTTAGTTTCATGTTATTTTATTTTTACATTGTAGTTTTATTTATTTTTTTTTTTATTACTTTACCTAAGAAGTAATGCTTTTCTATGTTTGGACACAACTAAACACATAAAAAAATAAAATAAAAAATTCGTATTTATTTTTGCTCACTTACTTAAATTAATTAATTAGTTCATACTACATAGTAACAACATCAGTAAAATGAATATTCCAACAGACATAAAAAGTAATGACAAATCTTTCTGTGTTTATTTTATTTTTATCAATAGCAAAACATATTTTTGAGAAAAACTTTTAAACCTCGTAAATTATTTTTCGTTTTGTTTTCATTTTTACTGTTACTAAAAATGTATACTTAGGTAACAGTTTTTAACCTGCTTTATTTTTGCATTTCCGGTGGGTACATGCTATCTGGGGGCCGGTGGAAACCTATAACCACCGCGTGAGTTCCAGTTCCAGGTTGGCATTGCAGCTTTCAGCAAGAATGAATATTTAGGGAATCTTTCACAAGCTGTAATAATCGCAGCGTCCAAAAATCGATTCCACCATATCTTAGTAACTGTTCCGGAGTGAGGAAATAGTTTATTTCCCGTTAGTTTACGGTTTGTTCACAGGGAAACATGGCGGCGTCCTTGAGTTTCACAGGGAGCGCGAGGCTGCTGGTAAGAAAATGATTGAAAATGAAATGTTTGGAATATTAAAACATTATTTCTGTTGATAATTACCTTTTAGTGAGTTTAATGTGTACCTACCTAAACTCAGTGTTACCTCATAGCTTTATAACTTTATTGTTAAAAATGTATTTAGCTTTTGAGTACGTCTTTTTTTTCGAAATGGAAAAAATATGTATTTTTTTCTGTCCTTAGCCATTGAAATAAAGAATAAAATAGCGAATGGATGGATGAATAAATAAATCTGTATGTTTCTGTCAAGTTAATATCCCTAATAATAATCACTGTAAAATCGCTAATCATGTCAGTTATCCCAATTTAGTACAGTATATAAGTTAATAAATAATTCTCTTTGTGGTTAAAAACTTCCGTTACAATTTGTTTTAAACTAAGACCATTATATTATATTATATTATATTATATTATGTAGACAAGTCTTTAGCTTCTCTGGATGATGTAATTTACTATGAATGTGATTTTGTTTCCTGAAACTTCCTACAAACATCATCTTAACAGTCTAGACTCATCATGGATTTTGGTTTTGTTTCCATGACATTTTTCCATTTTTTTCAGACTGCTTTGGCCCGATCTAGTGCGCTGTACAATTCCTTCGAAAGCAGAAGCTTCCATGCAACAGCAGTGTGCTGCAAGGTAAACATGCATCCTGTTGCTTTAGGTTCCTTTTAAGCTATTGGAAGATATTACAACTCTTTTGCTCCGTTTGTTTTAAAAACTGTACAAAATTTTCTGCAGTCATAATGAAATGCTTTTGTTAGAAACCCAACTGGGTTATGTTACCTACAATTCAGTACTTGTCATTTCTTGTTTTTCTCATCGGTTGTGACTAAGGCGTGTTCACTAAAGGAGGTTGTGCTAATATAACTCTTTAAACATTTGCTGTTTTCCGTCTCATCTCCCTCTCCTGTCATTTTGTAGAACCGAGCGGCTCGGATCCGAATTGGCAAAGGAGACAAGCCACTGACGTACGAGCAAGCGCTTCATCCTCATCAGATCGCTCACCGCAAAGGATGGCTGTCTCAGCACGCCAGTAAGGACGACCAAAGAAAGGCCAAACACAGCTTCACAGCACAAACATACTGAGATGCATATTAACATCAGTTCTGCCACGTTATATTCCTGAAATATGGGCTTTGAATTTTAGCCAATTCAAAGCCCTTTTTCAAACCCTCACATTACCATTAGGTCTCTTCCTCCTTCCATTTAGTTTCCAGGTTATAAAATCATATTCTATCAGTTTATGTCAGGGGTCCCCAAACTTTTTCCTGTGAGGGCCACATGACTGTTCCCTTTTCTGGTTGGGGGCCGGTCTTAGTTCTTCGAGAAAGAAACCTTAGAAAAGTTTTGTTGGGGGGGGGGGAGATTGGATTACAGCCGATGACATATTCGCGTTTGTAGATGGATTTTTACCCAGAATGCAAATGGAAAAAAACCGTGAGCGAAACGGTGACTGGTACTGACTAGTATATATTCCATTGAGGGAAACCAAGTTTCATATCTGCTCAAGAGCCCCCCTGGTTGTTGAAAAAAAATCCACATATATATGAAAAAAAACACTGAATGCTCTCTGGTATTGTTCAGGGGGCCGGACCAAATGAGGAGGCGGGCCGGATCCGGCCCGCGGGCCGTAGTTTGGGGACCCCTGGTTTATGGTCTTGGTAGTCATTTTCAGCATTTATGGAGATAATTAGCCATAAAATGAGCAAATATGTCATACATGATTTAATGTTGTTTTATCTTATGAAAACTTTGATATCATTTATTTTGTTTCTGGTCCTGTCAAGACGGTTGATTTATATGAAATATGACAGATTTAAAAAAATAGCTCCAAGTGACACCCTGCAGACAGATATTAATTACTGGAGTCATAAACTCATTAATTTACAGCAGATCAAGTGGACTGTGAGAAAATCCCATTTGACAAATACTCTGCCCTCTAGAAGCAACTAGCAGCCACGGTTTCCAGATTAGAGTTATAAAAAATTTAAACTGTAAAACTTCCATTTTAGATAGTTTAATAAGATCATAACTAAATCTATACAAGGTGTCAATCTCAATTTTCATTTATTGCTAAACAAAGACTAGCAGCTTTTAAAAATATTTGTATGTCATTTTTAATTTTCAAGCATTTACACATTTTAATTTGTTGCAGGTAAAAATTTAAGGTAAGCCACCAAATATAAACTGTTTCAATAGGAGCCAAAAAAACAAAAAAAGTTCCTTCTCTCCATACATGGCTCTTTATAGTATTAGCTTACCACAGTATAGCACTTTTTCTTTTTGCTGATCTCATATATTTGGCTCTGGCAGGTAACTTGAAGGGAGAGCAGGGTGCGGCGGAGCGGACCGTAGAGGATGTCTTCATCCGGAGGTTCATGTTCGGGACCTTCCACGGTTGCCTGGCCAACGAGGTGGTGATCAAGCGTCGTGGAAACGTGCTCGTCGTGTGTGCGCTGATGCTGCAGAAGATGCCGCCTCAGAAGTTTTACTTTTTCATCGGATATTCAGAGTCACTGCTGTCCCACTTCTATAAATGTCCAGTGAAGTTAGAGATCCAGACACTGCAGGAAAAAGCCGTGTACAAGTACGTCTGACAGAACCAGCTTGTTGTTTTGCCTTTAAATAAAAATGTTTAAGAAAGGAGCATTGGACAAAACTGCCCAATGATGTATTAATATGTCTTTTGTATTTTTAAATTTGTAACTGGAGCATAAAACCCTGTTTTTATGGCATCTACATTAAATCCAAAATGTCCAGACTGAGATATCATTTTGTACAGTTTATGCAAATTTGTGCAATTAAATGCTGCATAAATTTGTTAGAAATGAATGGAGATGTAAGCATGTGAACTGCTGTTATGAATCTAGAATATGAACAGATTAGAGTAACATTAAAATCCAGGTTTTAATGTATTTTTTTTTATTTGTACATTGTGACCTTTTTTGCTCAAAATTGGCAGAAACTCATTCTGTAACTAGTTTATATTGCTGACAACTTTTTAAGATTATTGTAGAACTCTAGCAGATTCATATTAGTTCACTGCAAAAAGAGCTTTAGCTAAAAAAGTATAATTCTGTCAAATAAACAAATACTTTGAATTTTTATATTTTTCATTCAAACTGAACTTATCAATAGCACAAATAACTCCACGTAAACATGTTCAACTTTCTATGTTTATGTAGTGTAAATTTGGATTCCTGTCATATTTTGGCAACATTAAATATTTATTTTTGTGTTGAGATAAAGGAATTAAAAAAAAAATAACCACCAGAACAAATACAAATATTTACCCACATTATAGAGAGTAGAGTGCCATGTTACAATAACTCCTAAAATTAAATGTCTTAAAGTTTTGAAATATGGAAATAGCAATAATTTAATATAGAATTAATTTGAGCTATGCTAAATGTATTGATTTCATTTTACAAGTAGACATATTTATGATTTAATGTCATGTTCCTTTTTTAGTGAAGTCCATCATGAATTAATTGGGGCCTGCCATAGCACAACATATGGATGGGCAGTGACTGTCTTGCGAAGCCATTGTCATTAGGGAGCATGTCAAAGCCTAAATGTTACTAGTCAGTTTACTTTTGTTTATTTGGCGGCTTGGCGCTTTTTCTGTAAGCTAAAAATGAATGAGCGGAGTTTGATCCCACTCGTAGTTCTAACAGCGGTCGTTTGGATCCTGGCTGAGCTTTTTACCGTGTGCACGGTTCTGGCGGGTCACCAGATGGCAGACATCTGCTGCTCCTACTGAGCGCCTCAGACTGCGGGTTAAACAATTTAATCTAGTCGAAACGTTCCCCAAAAGACTAGAAATCAAGCAAACAATGTAGCATCACTTTCTCTTCCTCTGGACGTCTGCAACAACATTAGCCTTTATTATCTTTTTCTCTCAGGTTAGGGCCTGAGAGAAACACAAACATTAGCATTTCACTGCTCCCCACTAGTGCACTGGGACTTGGAGCTGTCCTTCAACAAGAGGTGGACGGTGAAAGAAGACATGTGGTGTTTCTGAGTCGGAAGCTGCTTGATAGAGAGACAAGATATCCAACAGTGGAAAAGGAGTGTTTGGCCATGAAGTGGGCTATTGAGGCCCTCAGGTATTATCTTTTAGGACGTCACTTTATTTTAGAGACTGACCATCGTGCCCTCCAATGGCTAAGACGAATGAGGGATGCCAACGCCCGAATCGCTGGATGGTACCTGGCGCTGCAGCCATTTGACTTCACGGTCCAGTACAAGCCAGGGAAGTCTAATGTGGTTGCTGACGGTTTATCCAGAATGTCAGAGGACTGAGGTACTCTTAAGAGAGGAGGGAGGAAATGTAATGAAGAGAGCTTCATTACTGGGTCTATTTGTATTTAAGTCACTGTTTAGCACTTTAAAAGCACTTTTTGCACTTTATTAACAAGCACTTTATTTAGCACTGCACTTTAAGCAGAGATTTGCACATAAATAATTTGCACACGAGAAGTTTTAATTGTATTTATTGAGTATTTTAGTAATTAGCATGTAGCCTTTTATTCTGGACTCTGCACAGCTGCCCCTCTTTGAGAAGTGAGGTGGTTGCCTGTGGAGGGAGGATATTTTTTATTCAGAGCAATGAGCTACTGGTGGGTAAAACTGAGCAAATGTTTGTGTATAATCTGTTAGGTGTGGAGTGCTGATATTGAGTGACTCACCTGTCTTTTCTGTGTCCTCTCCACGGTGTTTGGACAAATACTAGCCTGGGGGTCCAGACACCATTTATAGGTTCCAGGAGAGGCCATTGAAAAGTGTGTGGGGGGGAAGAATTGTTTATGGGTTTTTGTGGTGTATCATTTGGTGTAAGATAAAACCTAAGATATTTATAAAAAGTAAATTTAAATGTTTATATTTAGTAAAATTTATTTTATTTAAATAGGTGGAGATTGGTTAAGTGAGATCCCCCTGTGAATTGAAGGTAGTTGGGTCCATCACAGCTGAGACTATTTAAGCCTGCAGTTTCACCTGTGAAGTGTGATTGTGTGTGTTGATGGTGTGTGAAGAATAAACCACTGCTGTTTCCACCTGACTCTGCCTCAACTAGTCTTCCTCACTGTGAAATCCAGCCACAAAAGGGCACCTTGTTACAGATAAACTGCCAGCCTAGATAATATTTTATTAAAAAAATGAAACTTTTTTAAGCACATTACTATAAAGAGACCTTTCAATATTTGGAAGAATTTTACTCTCACAAATGGAAAGTCTATTAAGACTCATTTATCCATTTTATTCCTTAGAAATTTCAGATAACATAATTTAAAAAGTTAATCAAAATCATTTTAATGTCATTTGGAAAAAGAAACATCACTACATTAGAAAAGATGATATAAAATCACTGGAAGAAGGAGGTCAAAATCAATGCACTTGATTTTGACTCGGTAAATGATTGCTTAAAACTTCGATAGTTACAAAACTTTCTTAAACATTACGAGAGCTTTTGGTTTGGCCTCCCTGCTAAAATCTTTTTAGACTTTGGTGGGGTAGAATTCCTTTTAAAATGTGACTTTGAAATTAATAAACTTCCTAGAAAACAGCCAGGAGGCTGGAAAGTGAGCTGGCTTTACTGTTGCCTAGCAACATAGCATACATTACATTATTCCACTGATGGAATCAGATGATGTCAAAGTGTTGTGATGTCATAAGAAACAAATGCCTTGAATGTCCTTACAGAACTCAAGTAGCAGCACGGTTTTTCCATATTGGATTTAGCATTGCATTTCTTCGTAGCTTTCCATCGGTCGGACAGTCAAAATGTCGCAAATTGACACTGATTCTTTAAAGTCACAAGTTAAAGAAATGACTACAGATGAATTGGTTACCTTGGTTATGGATTGTTTAAAAAAGCTTGGAGAAAGATGTGAGTTACTGATGACAAACACACAGAAGAAGGATTTGGAAAAAGCTCATAAACAAATTGAGCTTATGAACAAGAAAATTGATTCAATCTCCAAAGAGCTAAATTGGTCTTGCAAGCCAAACAAACACCTGGAATCTCAGCAAATCCCAAAGTTAAAACACCAGGTAAAACACTACAAGGATAAAGTGAGCGAGCTTCAAACCTCTTTAAAAATCCTCGAGACGGTTTCACAACTGCGAGATGAGAAGGCTGAGAAAGAAAAAAGGCAAATGATGTCTGAAATCGCAGCGTACAAAGTAAAGGTTAAAAAGTACCAAAGTGAAATGAAGAAACTTGAGTCTGAGATGTCCCGAAAGATCGACAACATCATCATGAAGAATGAGATTATGAGACAAAAAGACAAGTACAGCCTTCTTGAAGGGAAGGTAGAAGCTCTGGAAAAGCAGTTGAAAGAGAGAGAGAAGGAAAATGAAATTCTTAAACTTTCTAAAACTCCAATGGAGGAAGACATAGGTAAAACTGAGCAAGAGATTAAAACCAGGATCGATTCAACTGAGGAAAACACATTAGCTGAGGAAAAACAGCTAAACAAGATTTTAGTACAACATCTGATGAGAAAAGAACGGCAGATGAGTAAACTCATGGAGCAGCAGAGAGAGGCACAGAGAGAGGCAGAGAGAGAGGCTGTGGCTGTGAGAGAAAGTTTGGACTACATAAAATCTGAGTGCAGAGACCTGAGGAAAGAAAATGAGTCCTTAAATTTTCAGAGAAAGGTTCTAACCAAAAACAGGCAGAGGGAAGAAAATCACATTAAAGTCGCCGACAAAGTGCTTAATGTGACAGAATTGTATATCGGTGAGAAGATAAAACACAAGAATTTGAAGGATTCCACAGAGAGGAAAGAGACTTTGGAAGGACCAACACTCAAAACACAAACCAACAATCAACAATTCAGACCTCAACCACCGATCCAGAAAAAAAAATTCCAGCTACCCAAAATACAGCCAGATCATAATCGAAGATTTCTGCTTGTAGGTGAAGGCAAGTCAGAGCCAGAGTTTAAAGAACACAACCTAACAACACAAGAAAATTTAAAACCCCTTAGCAAAACGAAGCCTGAAATGTCTGGCAGGCAGGGCAGGAAGATTTTTGTAACGGAAATTGAGAAAAAATAGTCAAAACTAATTAGGCTAATTGGTCTCTCTTAAATTTTCCTTTGTCTCTCGCTCACCAACTGTTGGAGACGCTCTTTAAATGGACACACTCTAAACTAAATGCACAGGTTTTCTCCGGGTGCTCCGGTTTTTCCTTCGAGAAAAAAAGTGATTAAGTTAATTGATCTCTTAATTTTACCTCTGTGTCTCACTGAGACTGACTCACTGACTGTTAGAGATATGAAGAATATTAACTTACCTAGTTCAGATTCTTAATGCGTTTCTTTTTAGGACACACTCCTTAAATGGCCTCATACAATGTCTTCCAGCCTTAGTGTTTCTGTATTTCCTGTCTCCTTAGTCGTCTTAATTTTTAACTGGTCATAGAATATAACCAGTCTCTCTAAGATGGAGTGTCTTCCTGTTAAAAGGAAGTTGTTCCTCTCCACTTGGCTGCTCAGGATTAGGGACAGTAACAATTATCAATTGGACAATTGGACGGATGGATGGATGGATGGATGGACGGATGGATGGATGCAAAGTTTTTCTCCGGGTGCTCCGGTTTTTTCGACTATTTAGGAAAAGAAGTGTTTAGGCGAATCGGTCTCTTAATTTTACCTCTCTCTCTCACTCAC